GCCACGCGTGTTATTATTGTATTATTTATTATATATTTTTCGGTTTTTCTATTTTTATATAATTTTATTTCTGTTTTTATTTTGATCTTTCCAACGACTGTCTGCATGCGTCTCATTTTAATTTATTGTATTTTAGAGGCACGCTTAAAATCCAGTTCAAGCCGACATTCAATCAAAATATTGACATACATAACATACATACATACATATGTATGTACATACATGGACAAAGGAGATGGCACTTAACTTAGGATTGAGCCAAAGTAAAAAGTTTACTTAGAATTAAAATACAAATACCAAAGTATTATTACTTATACATTGACAGTTTTTTAAGAAGATCATAAAATTTGCCGATAGCACAAATATGCTTCAGTTGTTTTTTACATACGTATGTATGTTCATAGTATATATGTGGTTTGGCTTCTGACACCGCTTCGTTCTACGACTTGTGGTTACCCTTATGCCGTCGATAATTCTGCTGTTAACTTACTTGCATTATCGACTATCGATCTATGTGATCAGTACGAATGCAGGTCTTGTGCGGTTAAGTTGTATATATAATTGCAATCAAGTTAAAATTTAAATAAAAATTATTTAAGATTTAATGAAAATAATTATTTTCGACTAGACAGTGCTTTTGTAACAGGAAGAAAATATTATTAAACATAATTTAAAAAGGCGTATATTAACATAAAAAAGACACATAAAATGCCAAAAAATCGCAGATTCGATGAAGCAGGTATTTAACGGGAGAGGGAGTTTCTTTTTTAATTTTGGAAAAGTGCAAACAAACATTTGCACGTTTGTATTTACTTGGCTTTAAAACATGCTTAAATGAAACTCATTATTGTTATAAGTGGTTAAATGTATTTTTAAATTAATTTAATGAACAGTTTTTATTTAAAATTTTTTTTGCAAACTTACTTATGATAAACTATGCATAAAAACTATTTTTATTAGTTTCTAAAAAGTTCTAAAAAAAAACAAAAAAAAAATTTATATTTTTATACTATATTAGCTAAATGGTTTGCATTGCGTACTGGCATTCGGAAGACAAGGGTTCAAATCCTGGTACGATCAACATCAAAAAGTTGTAGAAAATTAATTTAAATAAAAAATTAAGTGAAATTTTCTAATTGCGGTCGCCAGGCAGGGAATGTGAACTCCTCCTATATTTTTTTTAATTATTTCTTGCTTGTTTTCTTTAAAAAACTTTTTTCAATACTTCACTTAATTTTCTCTATTTCTGTTAATAGTTTTCTAATGTGTACAGCTCTTACATAAATATCGCCCTCACTCTGCATATAATCAGCTGCCAGTATTTTTGTTATTTGCATTGACGCCAATTGCATTTTAAAAAGTTGCTACTGTTATTTACTTTTTTTTTGTTGTTATTCGTGAATGTAAACAAAAACTAACATACTCACTTGCCTTACGATTTTTGTTTACAATACAATTGTTTGGTTGTATATGTGCGTTTATTTGCCTTTTGTTTTTCGCGCACGAGTTAGTGCATTATTATGGTTAATTAGTATTAACTACTGAAACTACTTGTACAGTACATACGAGTATACAGATGTTCTTTGAGATTAAAAATTTACAACACAAAGGCGGTTTGTAAAATTTAGCGCACACCAATTAAATAATAATTTATTTTGTGATATTTAGAAATGTATATCTTTATAAAATGAATTTATTTGATAATAAATTAAAAGAATAGTAAAAAAACATTTCACTCATTTGAGTCAGTTTTCGGAATATAAAAAGAATATACTTAGAGATTAAGCACATAAATTTCTTCTAATTAAAACACCTCGTGATGTGAGAAATGATTTATATATACTCGTATACATATATATATACGTACAAACATTTTTTTTTCATCAGAATTTAAGTGATGTTGAAATACAATTGAACTGCTTAAATGATCAGCTATACAGAGTTATTTCTTTGGAAACAATCAATGTAAATGTTAACGCTCTCTGCGCTGTTAGAGCTTAACATCTCACTGTTAGCGCTCTAACCGGCATATGTTATTAACACGCAAGCGACTTTTGGTATAACCCATTATTTTTTTAAATTAAAAAAAAAAAAAATATTAAACGAAAAATTATGTATTTAGCGTTAAAGCACAAAAATTTTTTCCCTAATAAAAGCCCAATCGAGTGTTAACAGTCTGTGTAAAATATATTTTTATACATTTAGTTTTTTTTTAATTTCAACCATTTTTTCATATTAATTTGATATATTAATATTATTGAACTGCTAAAAGTATCAGCTACACAGAAAAAAAAATCAATGTAAATGTTAATACTCTTTGCTGTAACAACTTAACATCTCCCTGTAGCGCTCTAACCTACTTATGTCATTAAAATAGTATAAAATCAAGTGACGACTTTAAGGTATAACCCACTATTTTCTTAGAATCCATTGAAAACAATAAATTAATTATATTATATTATGAAGCAAAGAGAAACCGTTAATCAATAACTACTTACTTGTAAATACAAATTTTATTTCTCCCAAACGTCAAATAATCGCAAATAACTTACGAATACGGTAAACAATATGTTTAAGTACTCGTATTTTTACTTTTTCCCTTTTAACTATGTATTTCATCCGAATCACTTAAATAGTACATTATTTTGTTGTAAGTACATTTGAGTGATTATCATAATAATAATAATTGCGTAACTAATATGAATAAATATTTGTGAAGTATTAGCACATGCATATATGGCATTTTTCAATAGTATTCAAACCGTAATATTAATCACTAAAGTTTAAAAAAACTTACGTGTGAAATTCAATAGATATATTTTTTGCTTATGTAATTTGATGCTCTTGAAAAATTTAAGCCGCCATTAATTATCGCGAAATATTGTTTACCACATTTTCATTCAGCGGAAGAGAAAGTTATATACGTCTGCGGTTTTAGTTACTTTTAAAAACACATTAACTTGTCTCTGACCAATACAGAGAAACATTTGTACTTTATTATTTTTATGTATCTTGGCGGTCTTTTTTCTATTTAATTTGTGAGGATTCCTCTTTTATAGAGTTCTCATTATATGGCAAAAAGTATAAAAAAAATTATCTAAGAAATCTTCTACTTTCTTAATATACAACATTCGCACAAAATGATTAAATAAATAGATTAAAACCCTATTGAAAAAAATTTTAAAATCGAAGCTCCATATAATTTTGAACTAACAAATTACTTGCCGGGCTAATTTATGATTTATGTATGTACAACTATCTTATAATGGGTTACTTTCATATAACATTGTATTGCAGTTGTACATATTTACATATGTTTTCGAACGTTTTAGTGAATAATTAAAAATAAAGGTGTGTGACTTTATTAGTTGTAGTTGTTCTAGGCCCGAATATCTCAGCAATTCGAAAAAAAATTGTAAGGAGTGTCTGTGAATATACTTTAAATTCAATTTACATTAAAGTATAGTGAATTTTTCTTTAATTGGCAATATGCCATAAATATGTAGATTAAGTAAATTAAATCAAAATATCATCAATCGATTTTTATGAGGTCAATTATAAAAGTTAATTATTCTAAAAGTGATTACAACACATATACACAAAAACTAAAATTCAAAACTGGTATTGCGAAAAGGATGGATACAGTGAAAAGCATCAAATAACGTAGATTATGAAAAATATTTATTTGCTGTCAAACGCGATTTGATTAAATCATCTTGAGCTTCGCTTGAGACAATTGATGAATCAAAGCTATGAGGAAAAAAGTTGCAGTTTGCACATAAATATGATTTTTTTTAAATATTGAGCGATAAGAGTTTTCCTACACACATACAAGTATATGCCAAAGTGTAAAAAAATATAATATGAAAACCCCTGATATGCCTCCTTTCCAGCAAACCTTTTTGGTGTATTTTTATATAAAATTAAAAAAAAAATAAATACATTTTTTCGCTTTCTTTCTTCTTTTTTGACTGCTCAACTCAATGGAAGATTTCCACAACCTCGGTAATATTTCTTATTGAGTGATTTAAGACCGCATTAAAAATAGCAAAGTGATTAAAGAACTAAAATATGTGCATTCATACGTAATCGTATGTCTACATATTATTTATAAATCTCATTTGAATTGTCAGTAAATTTATATTATTAAACATTCGTATATACCTTTATGCGTTACACGAAATAAAACATTTTGTTGATAACAAATTGAAAAAAAATATTGTATAACCATAAAAACAGTACAAAGTCTACAATGCAAAGATCGGATTCACCTATTGCGTCCTGTTATTGAGGAAAAGCTTAAATCAAATTCACATCAAGTTACAAGAAAACTAAGCAAAAAACTATTTCTCACATCAAAATGGCTTTAAGAAAATATAAATAATATATAAGTAAACATTATTTTATTAAATGTTTCTTCCTTTTATTTTATTTAATTTTTATATTATTTATTTTGCTAAGTTTTACTTTATTTCATTTTATACTAAATAATTTTATTTTATTTTTCTTTAACTTATTTCGTTCTTTTTTATTTAACTTTAAATTATTTAATTTATTTTTTTTTTATTCAAATTTATTTTAATTAATTTACTTTATTTTATTTTGTGTTATTTAATTTAAAATTTTTTTATTATATTTTATTTTGTTTTGTTTTAAATTATATTATTTTATTTTTTTATTTGGGTTTTTTCATCTATTTATTAAATGTATTGTTTATGTGTATGTATGTATTGTTTATTTTATTTTATTTTATTTTATTTTATTTTATTTTATTTTATTTTATTTTATTTTATTTTATTTTATTTTATTTTATTTTATTTTATTTTATTTTATTTTATTTTATTTTATTTTATTTTATTTTATTTTATTTTATTTTATTTTATTTTATTTCATTTTATTTTATGTTATATTATTATTTTTATTTTATATCATATAATTTTTTATTTTATTTTACCTGTTTTAGTTTCTAAAACAATTTTTCAATATTTCTTTAATTACAGGTTGCTTAGGCTTGGGCGTTCGCCATTTTCAAGCGTTTCTCATCTTCGCTGGTCTCTCTGTTGCCTATTCATTACGCGTCAATTTGTCTGTTGCCATTGTTGCCATGACTGATAAAGATACAAATCCAGACTTCGATGTAAGTGTAAACTTAAAATAAATTAGTGACGTCACTATTACCGTATTTTCTTATTAAACACTATCTGTTTTGCAGGCATACGATTGGAACGAACAAACCAAATCTCTCTTACTCAGCAGTTTCTTTTGGGGCTACGTTGTTACTCAGGTACCCGGTGGTGCGTTGGCACGTAAATTTGGCGGTAAAACAACACTACTATGCGGTATTCTCTTCTGTTCCATATTCGCCATATTGACACCCATTTTCGCGCAAATCGGCGATTGGAAATTAGTCTGTGCCCTACGTGTCGCACAGGGTCTTAGCCAGGGCATGGTTTTTCCCTCGACGCATACGCTACTCTCACAATGGGCACCAATCGAGGATCGTGGTAACTTTGGCACTTATTGTTATTCGGGCTCTCAATTCGGTACAGTTGTTATGATGGCTTCGAGTGGTGTGATCGCCTCGTCGGCTTTGGGTTGGCCCAGCATTTTCTATTTATCTGGTGGTGTCGGTGTAGTGTGGGCCATTGTTTGGTTCTTCTGGGGTGCCAGTACACCAGCGCAATGTAAGATGATTTCACCAGAGGAGAAGAAATTTATTGAACAATCGATTGGCGTGGGTCATAGCGATGAGCAACATGCACCAGTACGCACACCATGGGTGAAATTCTTCACCACACCTGCTTTCTTGGTATTGATTTTGACACACAGCACACATAATTGGGGCTTCTGGACTTTGCTCACTGAGATACCCACTTACATGAAGAATGTCTTCCACATGGATATCAAGAGTAATGCGGTGCTATCGGCGCTGCCATATCTCGCTATGTTCTTGATGTGCTTTGTATTCTCAAGTATCTCTTCGGTGTTGAATAGGAATCAGTGCATACCGCTGCCGGTGAGCAGGAAACTCTTCAATTCAATCGGTCATTGGGTACCTATGGTAACACTCATCGCACTGGGCTATGTTAGCTCGGATGACAGTACTTTGGCCATTGTTTTACTCACCGTGACTGTTGGCATCAATGCCTCAACCTATTTGGGCTTCCAGGTGAATCACATCGATTTATCGCCTAACTTTGCCGGCGTACTCATGGGCATCACGAATTGCGCGGCGAATATAATGAGTATTATAGCGCCGCTGATTGTTGGCTTCATCGTTACCGACGAGGTTCGTATGAAGGAAATAAAGAAAATAAAAAATAATTCAATATATATTTATTTTTTAATTCCAGCATGATCCTGATCAATGGCGCATCATCTTCTTCATTGCCAGTGGTTTCTATCTTATCGGCAATTTGCTTTTCGTCATCTTTGGAAGCACCGAAGTGCAGCCATGGAACGACCCACAACCGCTGCCGTCGAAGGAGAAACGTAATTCTACTCAACTTGAGTCACAGCACTAGACACGAGGACGCTTTGCACATACTATGCATATACATATATGTATGTATGTTTCGTATTTATGTGTATGTGTAGTTTTGAATCGTTTTTGTTTTAATTTTTAATTTAACTTTTTTCTGTATATTGTTAGTATCGCAGTGATACATTGTTATTGCTTGTCTGCATTTGTCTGTATATAATTTAAGTTGTTATTGTATCGACTTTATAGCAAATATTTGTAAACAGTAGAATATACAATGAAAAGATATCCAAATTATGTATCATAATTTAACTGAGTGATGAAAATAAAAGAACTAAGTAATATAAGTATAACTTTAAAGAAGAAAAGAAACAAAAGATATAAGTGAAAAAGTACATAAAAAAATTAATAAATACACGAAAAAAATAATGAAAATAAATAAATTTATTTCTAAACTATTAATTGTTGAGTTTTGGTTTTGTTTTTCATCTTTTTTTCATATACTAAAACCATTAGGGCAATTTTTTTTTATTCTAAGGATAGTAAAAAGTAATCCATTATTTTAGCAATAGATGGTTTTAATGATCAGAATTTCATGCTCTATAAGTGCGATTGGCCTACGCTAGATAGCGTTAAAAAGCTGATATTTTATTCTCAAAACATACAGCGGAAGAAGTGTTAATAACTCAATTCATTAGTCAAAGGTGGACCCCATTAAAGAGAAATTAAGCTGAATTCTACATTTTTTCTTCGAAAATTTTGACTTCCCAAGTCAGTAAGCTGGAAATGTTTATAATAATTAGCCATGGCATTGTAACAGTCTATCAATCCCAATTTTAATTTCGTTCCAAAAATTTTGTAGTAAAAGGTGCTTCACAAATTATCGAGTCTGACCATCAAGCAAAAACTGTTTCGATTGTCGAGGAGCTAAAAACAAACATTGCACAAAAACTGTTTGGAAACACTCGAAAAAGCTGGATACACAATGAAACTCGATATATGGGTGCCACATGACTAGAATGAAAATCAAACCGAATTTCCAACTGCTAATCACTGCTGGGTCTTAACAAAAGCGGCCTATTTCTGAAGCGGAAGAGGACTTTTGATGAAAGCTTGATCATTTACAGCAAAATCAAATAAAAGAGATTAAGGTATAAGGACAATGAGTCGGCATATGAGGTCTTCAAGTCAGAATTGACAGCTAGAATACGATGATCTGCTCACCTGGGGCTAAACACTTAATGCGGAGCTGTAGTGTGTAAAGTAATAGCACAGAAATGGTAGCGACAACGCCAGGTCACCACAGTCAGTGATAGCGGCTCGCCAGACACTCCGCGAGCTTGTTTGGCAGCTTCTAAAGCAAAATCTTTATAATTTGGACCTCACACTCTATCATTTCGTCCGACACTCCCTTCAAGTGACTACAGTACTCCGTCAACTAGCGTTTGCAATCACTATCAGCAAAACTCATTGTCATTAGATATGAACTGCTTCGTCCATGGACAATTGTATGTTGCATCTTCTAGGGCCGGCAGATTAAATAACCATTTTATTTGCTTTGATTTCGTGTCACAACGCATAACCAAAACTGTTGTATACCCAAAGGCATAGGTTCATTCCGATAAGTTGGAGTCTGTTCAAAAATGATTTAAACTTTTTTGCATTAAAACATTTCCCATAGAGTTCTATGATAAATCTTTTTCCCTGTACCAACCATTTAAAGCTTCTAAATCTACTGGGCGCATTGTTCGTAGTGAAGCTTCTTAACGGATCAATTCATGGCTCTTCTCTGAGGTGAGCTTAAATATTCCAACTCGCGTATCTAAGCAGTTAAGGCCTGTGTCACAATTTTAATTTTCATTCCCGCATATTCGGTCTCCCAGACTAAGTTTTCAGCATCAATAAAACTTTTTTTTACTCTCCCATCATTTAATTTTTAATATTCCTTAATTACTAATAATAATTTCAGCTGCTTTATTCTGTAACTGAACAGTTTTAAATCTCGACGCTTAGCAAACGCTTCCGAATCATGATCCGGCATATTCAGTAGGTTATGCTGATGTCGCCTCTCGTGTCGGTTGAGCGGGTGGACCGTATTCGTTGGGTTTATTATTATTATTTCATAAAATTGTGATTAAAAGATAACTAATTTTTCATTTTTCATATATTCACACGGCGAATCATTGCAGGGTACAATTAGTTAGAAATAAATTGCGCATCCAAATACATCCCACAATTTCCGATAGGCTCCGCACACAATCTTGTGTCAATATAATATATATAATTGGAGTGAGTTTTAGCCGAGCTCCTCCTTCAATTGCGTCTTGATGTTTTTTCAACAAATAGAGGGACTTGCAGTTTATACTAAGTCGTCTACGAACGGTTGATGGTATTTTTACGAGGAGACTTTATTTTATGTCCGAAATATACCCGGAGGGGTGGACACTCCCTGTCGAGGGCGATCGCAATTAGAAGATTTAATTTCTGCTTTCATATATGTAATTCCCTGCAAATAAGTTGATGTGTTCAGAATCCGGTGATTTTCGGATAAATTTCACAAAAATCAAAAAAATGTCTATAGTTTCGCTTAAAAAAATTGGAAATATTAACGTTAAAGCAGATATCAAAATAAATTTCTTTTCATTTTAACCCGAAACGAAAAGCTGTCGTTAATGTTAAATCCTTAACAGCTAGTGTTATTCGTTAACAGATAATGTTAAACGTTAAAATTAAACTGTGCTGTTAATATCAGAGCAGCGGCATTTGAAGTTAATATTAACGATTTCATTTCGTTGAGCATCTCTGTAAAAAAGTGATTTCCTTTATACGAATAGTTTTTGTAAAATTAAACAATGAAGATTCGTGTTTCATTGTGAATAAATTTTCCAAAAGTATTTTGACGTTTTCATTTTTTTTTATATATTTGCTTCATTTAAAATTAAAAGTCATAAAAAGAATAATAAGAAAAACACTCAAACAAAATAGCAAAATTCAAACAGTCAATAGAGAAACTAAATTTATAATCATTTCAGATCTGGACGCTGGTCTTCGAAAGTTAAATGAGTAATTTCTCCAAATAGAATATAATCCATTTATTTGCAATAAAATTTAATATTTCATATCAACGAAATCTTCAACAGTTCGGCTTGGCGTTCGCCACCTGCAAATGCTCTTGCTCTTCGGCACAATGTCTATTGTTTACGCGCTCCGTGTTAACCTCTCCGTAGCGTTGGTCGTAATGACAGATAATACTTCAAATCCAGATTTTGAGGTGATGAACAGCACGAACTGATTAAGTAATACCAATATTTTTAATCTTAATATTTATTTCTAATAGGAACACGCTTGGAATGAGCACATCAAAGGTCTCTTATTGAGCTCTTTCTTCATCGGGTACGTCACATCACAGGTGCCTTCAGGCTATTTATCACGTCGTTGTGGTGGCAAAATATTACTGCTCATCAGTCTTGTCAGCTGCTCACTCTTGGCTATACTGACACCATTGTTCGCTGCCATCGGTAGTTGGCAACTGGTGCTGGCTTCACGTATACTACAAGGTGTCTTTCAAGGTACCGTATTCCCCTCAACACATACGATACTCTCACAGTGGTCGCCAGTGGAGGAACGTGGACTGATGAGCTCGTGTACCTATTCGGGCTGTCAATTTGGCACATTTGTTATGTTGGGCAGTAGTGGCATGATAGCTGCTTCGTGTCTCGGTTGGCCCGGCATTTTCTACATATCGGGCGGTGCTGGGCTCTTGTGGGCTGCCGTCTTCAAACTCTTCGGTTGTAGCTCACCGAAAGAATGCCGTCAACTCTCGGAGCGTGAGCGTGAACTCATCACCTCACATTGGGGCACCTCAGAGCTGCAAGTGCGTCGCAAGTCAATGCATCCGCCGTGGTCATCCTTCTTCACGTCCTGTCCTTTCTGGGCGCTCATCATTGTGCACTGTACAAATAACTGGGGTCTCTGGACATTGCTCAGCTACATGCCGGTTTATGTGAAGAACGTTTTAAATATGGATATTCAAAATAATGCACTCTCCTCGGCGCTACCGTACTTTCTAATGTGGATATTGAGTTTCGTCTTTACGGCAATGTCTATGTGGTTGAAGAAACATCAGTGGATCTCTTTGAATGCGAACAGAAAGCTGTTCAACACAATCGGTCATGGCACACCGGCAATAACGCTTATAGCATTGGGCTATGTGAATGCGGATCATGTGATTGGTGCTGTAGCTTTGCTCACCATAACGGTTGGTGTGAGCTCGGCTTCATATTTGGGCTATCAGATTAATCATATAGACTTGTCACCGAACTTTGCCGGCATCTTAATGGGCATCTCAAATTGCTTAGCAAACATAACGGGTATTGTGGCACCGTTAACAGTGGCACTGATTGTCAATGATGAGGTAAATAATTTCATTGATTGTGAGTAAAACACGAATTGAACGGTCTCCTTGAACAAGATGAAAATATTAGCGACGAAGCTGTCTTCGGAAAAACGTATATGTTCGTCGAAGCATTAAGACACTTAAGTTTTATATGGACCGGAGTGGGTAAAGGATATAATTAGGATAAAATTTCTTATTAGTCCAGAATGGCTAAGCGGAGAGACAGTGCGGTCTAATATTTTCTTCATGACTGGCGATGAAAAACTTTGGTCTCATAGAACTGTATATATAAAAACTAAGTGGTCTTACAAATTGAGGTTTCCTGCTTTTAGATAGATAGAAATTAATTTTCTGTTACCTCCAAAAAGTACCTTTAATCCACAAGACAGAAGGAGATTATTTACCAATGGGTTTGTAGGAAATGATGTAGAATTGATTCGATCACCAGAATTTATCTCAGAATACGACTTTTAGAAGCATCAATTCGCTCTACAGATAAACGCCTCCTGAATTTGCTCTTTGGTCAGTGTCGAACTCAATATGAGATATTTTAGATCGTAGATTCGAAACGGTTAACTTCGACTTGCGTAATACGAAATATTTTTTCCATCGAATCTGCATCGACTAAGTGAAGATTCTATCTTTGTTCAAGCCAATAAAGAATTGCCTTAGACTTTCCTTAGTTAAGTGTAAAAACAAGTTAAAGAAAGACTGAAATAAAGAGGTATTATACCGTAGAGAGTTGAGTTGAGTTGCTATTAGACCAATAGATCTGTTGTAATCCCACTGCGAGGCTCCTCTTCTCTTCTCAAATGTTCGAACCATTACTACCTACTTTTTCCAGGAAGCTTCAATCAACAGTGGACTGTTATTACGCCTGTCGTTAAGCAACAAGTCTAAAAGCGTAGGATGTTAAGATTTGTTCGAGTTCTTGGCTGTCTCGTCACGTTGTCAATGATCTCATTGACCTATCTAGAGCTTGTTTCGTAATGAAGGTCAGTTTCAGCATATAGGAGAGTGGATTGCACTTTTCTATTGAGCTCTGAACCGTCTCTAAAATGATTACATCATTTGTGTTTTCCCATTCATCTCTGCCTTGGTATTCTCGTGGATCCAAGGTTGTCGAAGCATATACTGGGGTTGGTGTAGTTCAGCTCAATTTTGTAAGAAATAACATTTCAGCGTAACTAATTTCCAGTTCATCTTAGTTGATTGAGTTGCACCGAATGTAATTAGGTTCGCTCGCTTGTAATTTGACTTCCAGGTGCAGAAAAAAGGAGTTGAGTAAAGTTAGCTGTGCTTTTGAGGGAATCTATGGCAGTACCCTCATGTTATGAGAATAAATATTCCCTAAAGTTTGACAAAAATAAATTTTAAGAGAAATATTTTTTTTGTATTTATAAATTTTGTTATTCAAACAATAATTTTTTTTAATAATTTAAATATTCTTTTTTGTTTAGAAATCCATTGAACAGTGGCGTATCGTCTTCTTCTTATCATCATTCCTGTACTTATTAGGCAATACGGTATTTCTAATTTTTGGTGACTGCCAAGTGCAACCCTGGAATGATCCAGCCGATTAGTTTATTAGAATTTAAATTAAGTGTAAATATTTGTAGCTGTGTAAATTGTTGCAATTTTTTTATTGTTGAGTAAACAAGAGTAAATAAATTATGTCGTATTAAAATGGGAAATGGTTTTGCACATTTTTCTTCGCACGTTCTGTTGTCTGTCACTACGTTGGTAAATATTTGTATTTACTTTAAAACGCAAGTGGCAAAAGATCATAGAAAAAGCTTTTGTTTAATTGCCATTTGTGGTGTAGTTTATATATTTTATGTACATACGTCTATGTACGTACTATAATACGTCATTCGAGAAAACCAAAACTTTTCTTTGCGCGCGTCACCAACTCAGGTAAGAACTTATGACGCCACTAATGATTTTTGTTGGTTGTTGCTTTGGTAGAAAATAGGGTTTGGAGGCGTCCGGCTGAGTGTTTAAGCCATATCACTTTTCATTGATGACGTATGTCTGGCTGCAGTGAGTTCTTCGACTTTATGAGTAGGAGTGAGCCAAAACTCAAGTTAAGACAATTTTAATGAAAAAACGATTTTTTTGTAAGAGAAACTTTGAATGCTCACTGACAAATTTTAAAACTGAGTAACTTAATCTGGGCTCTCTGGTAAATGATTTTCTCAATAGAAAGGTTCAAACTACAAAACCCGATAGGCTAACACTAAAGGGAAATGAATAATCTTCTAAATTTAAGTATTTATCTTTTATACCGAGAAATAGAGGCTGATACAATAAATAAAATAAAGACTGTTTTGCTTGAAGGACCATCCAAAAAAATCACTTGAATTGGGTATTTATAACACCATCTTAAAATAATAAAAATTCCCTAACCTATAATTTACTAAAATTAATTTCGGTAGAACTTTTATATTAAGAAATACTCCCAAAATATATGTCGAATATCCTTTCCTTTGCATTGAGACTCAAATTTTCAATTTTAATATAAAGGGTGATTTTTTTAAAGCTGTTTCATAAAAAAAAAACATAAAAATCAGAAAAAAGCATGAAATCTTTATTTGAATCGAGAGCACGGTCTATATAATTTCATGTTTGTAGATTATTTCAAGCAAATGTTGAGCGTGACTGCGCCTCAAATTGTCCATCCGCTTAGTTCAATTTTGGCATAATCTTTCCAACATTTCGGCCGGTATCTCTCGATAAAATGCTTCAATGTTGTCCTCAAATGAGTCAATCGAAGCAGGCTTGTCAGTATAGACATTAGATTTAGCGTGGCTTCACAAAGAATAGTCTAACGGCGTTAAATCGCACGATCTGAGCGGCCCATGGACCCGTGCCGAACGTGAAATAAAATGTTTACCGAACTTGTCTCTCAATAAGTCCTTTGTTACGCGTGCTGTGTGGCATCTGGCACTGTCTTGTTGAAATAACCTGTCATGCAGATCAAACTCTTGCTTTTTGGTCAAAAAAAGTTTGATATCATCTGACGGTAGCGCTCACCATTCACAGTTACGTTAAGATTGGCATCCTCTTTGAAGAAATACGGTCCAATGAAATCATCCGTCCATAAACCGCACCATACTGTGATTTTTTCTGCTTTTTCTGTATGCATTGGTAGCTCTTGCCATGCATCTGGCTGATTAAAATTGAATTTATGAAGAGAACACGCGACTTGGCTCCCTCATCTCTGTTGACTGTCATAACTTTGAAGTCGGTGATAATTTCGTCCATCTAGGAGCCAGCATTAATACCAATAATAACGTGAGAAAGGTTTTGCGTAAGATTTATGGTCCTTTGGGCGTTGGCAACGGCGAATATCGCAGACGATGGAACGATTAGCTATACGAGTTGTATGGCGACATTGTTTTAGTTCAGCGAATCAAGAAGCAGCGGCTGCGCTGGCTAGGCCACGTGGTTGGGATGGATACGAATACTCCAGCTTTGAAAGTTTTAGATACAGTGCGCGCCGGTGGAGGCAGAGAAAGAGGAAGACCTCCACTTCGTTGGAAAAACCTGGTCGAGGAGGACCTGGCTGTACTTGGTATTTCCAATTAACGCCAAACAGCAAAAAGAAGAAATGAATGGCGCAATGTTGCTGTTTGATTTTTTCGTGGGTCAAAAGAAAAGTTGTCGGAGCAATCGATCATACCTCAAAAACACTTCTTATGTAGAGAATTGTATAAGATGTAAATATTCTGAGGCAAAAAATACGCGCTCTTGGTTCTCATTTGTTACTCCTCAGCCGGAGAATACCGTTCTTCTATAAAGCCGTGAGACCGATTTCCAGTTCTTTCGAGATCGTTACAGCCAAGTGTGTGTATCTTGCTTCACGGTCAGCACGCATATTCTTAATGGTCCTACATATAGTTAAGCCGAGCCAAGTTAATTTCATTTAAGTTAAGCACTAACCCAATTTCCTTGTCGAAATCCTCTCGTTAACCATGTTTCCATAGTTCCTGTATTGATTCCATACCCAATCCAATAACAGTTTTCGCAATCTTATCAACGGTTTCTTAGGTCAGGATTGTAATCTGTATACATATATAAAATACTTTATTCTGAATGACTGATGGATCCACACACAGTCTAAACCACTGATCGTACAGACCCCAAACTTGGAACTTGTGTTCTTTGTATAATACAGGCATACCATAAGTAAGGGTTTTCCAGGCATAGCTCCTTGAAAGATTAATATATAAATATTTTTTTATCCGACTACTGAATCTGAGACCGATCTATTATCAAAATTGGATTTTTGTTCGATTGATATGAAATGTGGCTTTTAGCTAGGGTAAAACCCGGAAAACTTTTTATTACGGTAAGTTAACCTACGATCGATCTATTGAAAAATATATATAATATATTTTGGATTATGAGACGGCGACATCATTGCACAATACTTTGTCAAAGACTGGAATATTACTATGAATGCTTACAAACTTTTTTTTTCATAATTAAAGAGCTAAGCTCGGGAGGCATGTGGTTTAACAAAACGGTAGTATGTGCCATAAGGGGCCAGTCAATTGGCCGCTTATATCATATGATTTAACGAATCTAGACTACTTATCGTTGGGCAATGAAAAAAGTATGAGCATACAGCGTAAAGACCAATTGCAGCGCAGCCACAGTCAATATTTACATGAAATACTTTTTAAACATTAAAATTATATCTATCTTTCTATTGACACAAAAAAAGATAACTTCCAAGGTCTCTGAACTTTGTGTGTGTGCTTTTAATCAAATCTGAAAGTTTTATATTTTTTTAATGACTTCTTATACTTCAAAGGCCTTTTTAATATCAAATAAAACGTATTAAAAATGAAGCCTGCAGACCAGGAAGATGTGTCTTTTATCTTGACAAAAAAAAATCGAAATATTTTCCGCTCTTCATTAATTCAATTCAGAACCGCAATTTTAATATTAAAAAAAAAGAGATACATCGAAATACTTCATTCTTCTTTACTGTCAAAGTTCGGTACTATGCGGCGTTCATGGTCCTCTCCTACTTGGGTTTTTCAACGGAGTGCATACCTTTCTTTTCAAAGCGCTGCGTTGAAAACCCTCAATAACGAAGTGTTCTCATCCATATCCATACGGACCAAAGACCTTGTCAACGTTGTCGCTGTGTTTTGACTCGCTGAATGATTCCGCAGTATATCAGTTCCATTGACGGCGCTCGCCTTTTATTATACCTTAAATCAAATGTAAAACCTTTCTCTTCAAAACTTCTTTAGAGGACTTTGTTTTTCAATTGCCTACTCAGTCTAAAATAGCACCTGTTGACGTGTGGGTTTCTGTTCAATTTCGAAGAAGACATTTATGTTTATGTTAATGTTGGTCCCAAGAGAGTGTCAGTGATAGTAACGTAAGAGCCGAGTCGAGAATGTGATAACCGTTTGTTTGATGGCAGGGTCCATAAACTTCTCCTCCTTATCCAGAGAGAGAGAGAGAGAGAGAGAGAGAGAGAGAGAGAGAGAGTCAATGATGTCCATATCATTTGAATTTAAATGCAAAAATTTATTTACAAAAAAAAAAAATTAAATTATAATAATAATAAAAATAATGGGACTCGTTTTTGTGGGACTCTCAGCCTTAGCATACACGAATACATTACATAGTAAATTTAGTAATTACACAATGTAAATTTCGCGTTTTAATCCCGCATTGTACATTTTTATTTAATAAAGAGATTTATTTCAGTTTAGGTTGACAAAATTTTTGAGATAATTTCAAGATAATCAAATGCAATCAAGCGCATTCAGTCTTAATAGCTATTCCAGGCAGTAAGGGTTAGTAAAATAGTAATTATGGTGCGAAATAGCTTAGCCGCCGGGGGCACTGAAGAGGAAGAAAACCAACGTAAGTAAAATAATTGGTGAGGCTTTCAACAACACATGTATATATACATGTCTGTAAAATAATAAAGCTTAATTGTGTAATTTTTTTCGTTTAAAATTAGCTTCAAACTTTGGCGTACGCCACTTGCAAAATTTGCTGATTTTTTTCGGTCTCTGCGTGGTTTTCATGCTACGCGTTAATCTCTCCGTTGCCATTGTCGCAATGATGGATCGCAATTCAACGAATCCGGACTTTCCGGTTTGTTAAAAGAATGTTATGCTTAAAATAGCAATAAAAAAAAAACTCTTGTCTTTTTGTCTCCACACAGGAGTACGCTTGGTCCGAGCGAACGAAGTCTTTACTACTCAGCAGCTTCTTTTGGGGTTACTGTCTCACACAAGTGCCTGGCGGTCAGCTGTCGCAGCGTTTTGGTGGCAAAGTGATGTTGCTCTTCAGTGTGGGTATTTCCGCCTTTCTCGCTCTATTCACGCCACTCAGCGCACGCCTAGGCGATTGGCAACTCACTTGTGCGCTACGTTTTTTACAGGGTTTCGCACAAGGCGTTATATATCCCTCAACGCACACACTTTTAGCCAAATGGCCGCCACCAGCCGAACGTGGCGTGCTTGCAACACTCTGTTTCTCCGGTTCACAATTCGGCACGATTATTATGTTGGGCGTTAGTGGCACATTGGCCGCTTCGTCTTACGGCTGGCCGAGCATATTTTACATATCCGGCTGTTGTGGCGTGTTATGGTCTTTTGTTTGGCTTATTTGGGGCGCAGATTCACCAAGTCAATCGCGTTTAATTACAAGAGCGGAGAGGAAATATATTGAAATATCCTTGGCGGTGATCTCTAAGAGTGAGAACGATGCCAGTGCCGCTAAATTACCAACACCTTGGTTGAGCATATTCACTTCGGTGCCATTTTGGATGTTACTCTTTGCATGTTGCGCTTACAACTGGGGCTATTGGACGTTGATGACACAAATACCCTCGTATATGAAGAGTGTACTGGGTAAGGATATCAAAAGTAATGCATTACTCTCAGCCTTACCATACACGGCCAATTTATTGCTTGGCTTGGGATTTTGTGCTGTGGCACAGCTATTGCTCTCAGCACAATTGTTGAGCACGAATGCCAGTCGTAAGGTGTTCAACACAATCGGCATGTGGATACCGATGGCGGCGACAATTGGTTTGGGCTTTGTCAATGCCGCACAAGCAGATTTGGCTGTCGTGCTGCTGACATTGGCCGTGGGTACGAATTCAGCCACATTCTTGGGCTCTTTTGTAAATCACATTGATTTATCGCCTAATTTCGCTGGCACTTTGATGGGCATAACGAATTGTGCGGCTAATGTGATGAGCGTAATTGCACCGTTAGTTGTTGGTATTGTCGTGACAGATACGGTAAGTATTTGAGAATATTCCCAGCCACTTTCTATTTCTCTCTGTTTCTATATCTATCACTCTCTTACTGCCTTAGTAGGCAGTTAAATCAAATTATTTATATTATTTGTACATATGTATATAAATATCTTTCTATTTTTAACAACCAGACAAACTCGCAACAGTGGCGCGTAATATTTATGATTATGGCTTCATACTACTTTACTGGCAATTTGCTCTTCATAACTTTGGGTAGCACGAAATTGCAGCCATGGAATCAACCGGCGAAGCGACAAGACGATCACGAGCGCATTAAATTTCAAACAGCAGGGGAGGATAAAGAGCATATCTAATCTCTGTGTAGATACGTAATTCCTCGTGCGTACATATGTAATACACGTAAATTTAGAAACCAATGTGCGCAGATTTTATCAGCGTCGGAATTATCTAAATGATATTCAGTGGAGCCCAAATAAATATTATGAAGAAAATTTGATTTTCATTACTTCCATTTTTCAAATAAGAAAAAAAAATTAAAAATATATACTCATATTTAATATGCAATAATAAAGATTTTTTTTATTTAATGGAGAATTTCAAAGGCTCGGTTTGTGTGATTTTCTATAATCAGAAAGCAACGTGCTCGAGGAATTGGAAGTAAAGATGGGTATATGGATTTCTTATTGACTCTGAAAATAAACGATCCGATTCTTATTAAACTGGAGCTTGTTTCTTCGCATATATTCTTTTCTTTTTATTACTGATCCAGCTACTTATTTGTAGGACGGCCACAATAACAGTGTGGTTAGTATTGCCTGCTGCTAATGTGGTGACCAAGGTCCGCGTTGTGGTCGCCTTGCGTCAGCCTTGAAATGTATTTCTGCCAGGAAATAAAAAACTCCTCATAAAACTGCAACTGTCTTCAAGAGGAAGCTTAGAATAAACTCCTCCACGCACACCACAAATAGGAGGAAATCCTCGGCCGACCCTCACCGCAGTGATTACAAACGTCGGTTATACTTACTAGCATATGGGGGTCTCTAAGTTTTTTTCACGAAAATGTCCATATTAAAGCTTCGAAATAAGCCAAACGCTTACACATACGAGGTGTGACAATGAAGTAATGAGACTGATTATATTGCCGCGATTGTGGTAATCCTGCGACTTTGAAATTCCCTTTTCCTTCACCCGGCATCCTTCTCGTCTCCATTGATATACTTGGCATCGCTCTAGCTTGTTTAGTTCGCCTGCCGTGTCGTGTTGAGTAAACATGTGTTCATGATGCTCGTCAGAAAATCGGACAACGAAATTAAAGTCAACGCGTCGCGCCAAATCAGGCGAAACAGCTTCGGTAGCGTACGCTACATATGTAAAAGTACATGGTGACAGTACTCTTAGTCGTGCCCAGGTGTTTCGTAGGCATAAATAGTTTAAGGAAAAAAAATCTCGCATGACAAGTCGAAGGTGAAAACGATGATTATTGCATTTTCTGATAACCGTGGAATCGTCCGCAAAGAATTTTTTTCGCCGGGGCAACCGTAAATCAGGTCTACTAACGCCAAGTACTCGAAAGATTGCAAAAACGAGTCAGCAGAGTGCGCCGAGAGATCGTAACTGGATCCTTCATCACGGCAACGCGCCGTGCCACACTACTCTAAGCGTGTCCCAATACTTGGACTCTAATGGGATCGCCGTATTGCAATCACCGCCCTATTCGCCCGATATATCACCCTGTGACCCATTCGAAGTCGATTGAGGACATCCAAGAGGCCATACATGGGTACGAAGCATTGAAAATGTGCTGGAATCGTTGTATAGCTACCCAAGGGACTACTTTGAAGAAAATGGCAGAATACGTCTCAGTACTTAATTGTCACACCTCGTAGATAAGTATAACTTTGCGGCCACAACAACCGAGACCTTAGTATTACGTGCTAACACTCGGGTAGCCCGGGATCCAGTTCTGTTTTGATCAACATTTCACCAAAGTTTCAAGCTTCAAGAGGAGATTTTGGTACAGATAGTGGTCCAATTACTCAAACATTTGGTAAAATTTAAAAAGAAATTTGAGAAATTGGATCGGTTACAGATAATGTAAGGCCTGTGTATCATCGTTTTGCTCGTTCCACCTCAAATATCGCTACTGTAGGTGTAAATGTAGCCTAAGACACTAATGTGACTTATTTCTCGACGTTCTGAAGAGTTGAAACTTTCTTACGCACACTACAACATATTTTGGACTTGGACTTACATACATATAAATATACCAGCTTACACAATAACTGAAGCAAACTGCCCATTCTTCACTCCGTACATACGTCGATTGGGACTTTGATTAACAATCAGTGGACGGTGATTTTTCGAAAAAAAGATATTCTACAATAAAGAGGTACATTTGTCACCTGCGGGTTATGTAAATGAGCAAAATTATTGCATTTTATTCTACGAGAATCCTCAAGTAACTAAATACAGGCCTTTAAGCCCACCAAAAAAAAAAAAAAACACTTTATTTCTGGTGCGCTCTTTGGTCTAGAGTTGTGAAACGACAAAGGTGAGATTGTCTCTGTTAACATGATAGTGCCATATGCCACGCACAAAAGAGCGAATATGGTTTTATTGCGAGAAAATATTGGCGATGTCAGTTGATCACCAAGTTCATTCGATGTGACATTGTTGGACTTTTTTGTGGGACTACGTGTAAGACCGAGCTCATGGCTTTAATTGACGGTGCTACTATCGGCGTAACTAGCGTATTTTGTGGATCTTTAGAAGAGGTTAGCCCTCCAGTAAGGCACGCTTTGCCACCGTCAACATGTGTACTGACAAACTTACATAAGGCTAGATGTACAGGACGTTGGCAATATAACCTCAACTCCTACAGTGCCTCCTCAAAAGCTCAGCAAGCAGCTTCTATAAATCCATCTTCAGGTCTCCGTTTTGCCATGTTAGCATCTTCTAGATTGACCGTGTTGATTTGACAATAAACTACTTTCCTAACAATTATCTTTGCCTTTATCAGCTAAGGAACATTTCTATCACGAAATGGAAGGCTGTGTTGTCCTTAAATGATATGATTACGAGACTAAATATCCTCCTTGCGTACCTAGCAGCATCGATATGAAAAGCGGAGCTATAAAAAGTTCAAGTCCCCCTGCGGACGGTTTTTTTTTTTTCAAATATAAAAATTTAAACAAATAAAACCAACAGAGTTGTTGGGAATCGTTTCTGAAATGTAGAAGAAAGTCTATATGTATATTTTATCACTACCCCGGCTATTGTGATCATCAACTGTTACTACACTATCAAAGTTTTTGATATCTCTGCAGATTTGAAGTTTTGAGTTTCTTTATGCCTTCACTATCATATAAAAAAACTACGTGTGTGTTGATGCTTATTTGTATATATGTACATTTGTATATGTATAGTCAACGCGTTGGCATCCATCACACTTGTTAAGTTGAGATTATATATAACCAAGAGATAAGAGTTAATCATGCCAATAAATAAGAGTTAATCTTGAATACGATTTACTGTTTTTATTTCAAAACCAAATTAATATAGTATATGTAATGTTCGTGTTTGTCGAAGTGTATACAAGAATAGTATTCATATTTATTTAAATGAATTTATATTATCTATTCCTACTAGGCTTTCGTCCAAACGGGCATAACTAGAAAATAGGTTTTTGTTATTTAAATCCATTTCCACTTCATCTATTTACTGTATGCCTTTGGAAAATTTATAATTATTGCACGGCTTACAAAATATACTTACTATCTCTTTGAAAGCTTTTCTTCATTTTATGTGCATTCAAATTTTCGGTCATTTTTCTTTAAGCAATTTAAACCATTTTTCGAATAAACTCATTTAAATACTAACATTCTTTTATTTGAAATTGAAAAACGCACTGTGTGATGTACTTAAACTTGACACAAAATAAAGGCTTTAGAAGCTGCTCGTTCCTCAAAGTGCACGCAGGTGCAAAGTTGGAGTGCTCCAAATGCTGCAGATCAAATTTTTGTTTTTTGAAATATTGAAAAATTAACTATTGGTGAATATGGAGAAAAATCCGAAATATGAAAGTGAACGAAAAGGTTAGTGAAGTGTCGTATTGAGAAAAATCTTTCCAAAGATAAATAAATATGTTTTATGCTTATTATCAAATAAAAATAAAAGTTTGAAATAAAAGAGTAAAATGACGTATTGCAGAACAGTGACCAAGCTTTTCTGATAAAAAAAATCACGAGTCATAACAATGGTGAAATGGAAAAGTGATAAATTACAAGAGTTAGAGTTATATAATTAACCAAATTTATTAAGGTTAACTATTACAAAGCTTCGATAATTCGCCATGAAAAACAGTGACCTTTGTAGAGTAGCCATGCCTGCGGTCTCCCCTCAGCAAGGACTGTGAACATATCTGTGTGAATTTCTGGCATGACATAAAGAGCTGCGCATAAAAACTCAACACTTTTTCAGGGAAAGCTTAAAACAAAGTGTAGATTCTTGCAGTTTTTTCATATTTTGTTGTTGCTTTTTAACACAAAGAAGAGCTCCAAGAAGTAGTTGACTGAAGTTTGACCAAAAAACGTTTCAAGTTTTATATAAGGCGAATTATACATTTTGCATTTCGAAAATAAAAATGAAAAATGCATTTCAAATATTTTTTTTTATGAAATTCATTTTTATTAAATAGTTTGCACCTTGGCATATGCCCACCGCGTGAAGTTTTACAAAATTCACTCTGTTGGAGGTAATTTTCGATCACCTTGGCGTACATTAGGTGGAATCTCAGCCATGACTTATGAAATATCGATTTTCAAGAATGCTTAAGAGTTAAGCATCTTTAAGCGTATACATGGTCTACTACGTAGCCCCATGAAAAAAAAAGATCGAAGGTGTTAAATAACATGAGGCAAGAGATTACACGTCCTGGACTTTCTCTCGAAATGAAGTCATATTCGCTCGTGCTGTGTTGCCTGTGGCACCACCTTGTTCAAACCACAACTGCCGTCCAAAAGGTCGGTCGGTTGTTACACGACTATAATATTTTGGATGAACAGTGCCAGTCTCAGCGTTGTCGTTTTCAAAGAGTAAAGATCCAATCACAACTCTAAATGAGTATAACTGACAGTGAGTTGTTTTTCACTCCAATGGCCCCTCTTCAATTAATTGAGAATTCTCAGAGCCCAAAATTCGATAATTTTGCTTATTTACGTATCCGCTGAGAGAGAAATATGCCTCTACACTGGAAAAATTTTGTTCGAGAAATCGCCGTTGACTGATTGTTGTTCAATAATCCAATCGAAGAATGCACTGCGTTGTCAGTGATCAGCTGGCCTCAGCTGTTTTATGAACTGGGCTTTATATGGCTGCAGATGCAAGTTTGAGTGCAAAATAAGAAAGTTCCAGCTCTTGAGAACGTCGAAAAACAAACATATTCGGGACTTCAGCTACACTTTCCGTTACACTAGCGATATTTAAGGTTTATCTGAAAGACAGACTGACATTAAGTTTCTCCAATGCAATCATACCACCTCAAAGGTGACAATAAAATGCAGGGAGATCTTCAGGAAACTCTCGAGTGTATACGAAATGTCCGTGGCTTGGCCACAGGGACATTCCAGGGAACTGCGTAGCCGTCGAATTGGCTAGAGAGGGACGTGACGTGAGCATACCGCTTTCAAGATGGGTCAAGGTATCTGCTAAGGCAAGCTTTCACCAGCAAATAGCAGACCAAATCCATTCATAATGTAATAAAGCAAATCCATGCCATTAATTGAGATAAGCAGAACCAAATATCTACCCCAACTAAGCCGGACCTCTATAAGCATAATAAGCAGCCTAATAACCGGACACTGTCTTATGGTGACTCATGGCGAAAGGAAGCACTGCTTTTGAAACGACTTTTGCCGCAGCCAGTTGTACATATGTAGATGAGGAGAAATCGGTGGAAAGCTTACAGGGGTATCTCTATCATGACCAGCATAGGAATTACAACGGGCCAATAAGTCTAAATGCAATCGATCAGAGTTTCGTGAAGAAGCACCTGTACCTACCACCCAACTAACTACTACAATAGATAATAATAAATATTTCTCCCAAAATGAATTTCTTTTATTGTTACAGGTTCTTTTTTTGGCGCTCGTCATGTACAGTGTTTCATGGTATTCCTTGGCCTTACTGTCGCTTTTGCACAGCGCGTTAATTTATCAGTAGCAATTGTGGCGATGCTGGACCGAAATTCGACGAATCCGGACTTTGAGGTAAACCAAATGCTAATAGAGCCACAAGCCACAGCATTTTATTTATGAAAATATTTTCCCCATCCAGGAATACAATTGGTCGGAGAAAACGAAGTCCTACGTACTGAGTGGCTTCTTTTGGGGTTATTTCGTGACGCAAATACCTGGCGGTCAGTTGGCACAGAAATATGGTGGCAAAATAATGTTGCTTGTTAGCATAACCACCAGTAGTGTCTTGGCTTTGCTAACGCCATTGAGTTGCCACATTGGCGACTGGAAATTACTCTTTGCTGTACGTGTGCTACAAGGCCTGATACAGGGCTGCATTTTCCCCTCAACACATACCATACTTTCGAAGTGGGTGCCACCAGTGGAACGTGGTTCGATTGGCACATTCTGCTTTACGGGCGTACAATTCGGCAGTGTCGTCATGATGGCTATCAGCGGTACAATAGCTTCGTCTTCATTTGGTTGGCCGGGTATTTTCTATGTCTCCGGTTTGGCCAGCTTACTATGGGCTTTGGTATGGTATTTTATTGGTGCCAGTTCACCAAGTGATTACAAGTGGATATCGGATGAGGAGAAAGTGTATATTGAATCATCATTGGTGACAGTGAGCAAATCGGAAGGAGAAGAACATAAGCCAACTAAGACACCATGGATTAAGATAATCACGTCCCCACCATTCTTGGTTATACTCATAGCACAAAGCTCGTTCGGTTGGGGCTTCTGGACGTTGCTCATACAAATACCATCGTATATGAAACATATACTCAAGCTGGATATTAAGGTTAATGCACTCATGTCTTCGCTGCCTTATCTCGTAAATATGTGTTTGACATTTGCCTTCTGTGGCATCAATGATTTCCTGATCAAACGTGATTACATAAATAGGGGTACAAGTAGAAAACTCTTCAATACAATCGGCTTCTGGTTGCCCGTTGCGCCGCTCATCCTACTTGGTTATATGCGTGCGGATCAAAGCAATTTGGCGGTGGGCTTACTCGTAATGCTCATCGGTGTGAATTCAGCTGCATATTTGGGTTTCCTGACAAATCACATTGATTTGTCGCCCAACTATGCCGGCGTTCTTATGGGCGTGGCCAATTGCATGGCGAATTTGATGAGCGTATTGGCGCCACTGCTTGTGGGTTTCATCGTCACCAATACGGTAAGTGGTTCGTTGTCTTTTTATATACTTTTTATTAAGAATTCTTCATCTATAAAAATTCAATACACGAGGGAGTTAACAAAAGTTCGGTGGAAAAAACATTACTTATGTATTTATACGCAATCTTTGCTTTTTTTAATCTTCTTATATAAACGGTATTTGTTACAATTTTCTTTTCTTCATTTCATTCCATTTCTAAAGCCTATAGATCCACTTTTGAAAACAGTCTTTAGAATCTTGCTATTTCAGTTTATTAATTTTAGCGTTAAATATACAATATACAAATTGGCGCTTTGTAACCGCTGAAGCGATTTTCGGCCGAGATCCTTCTTCAATTTATGGTTTTTGCGTCTTCGTGTTTTTCCAACAAATGGAGGGACGTACAGTTTGTACTAAACCGCCACTGAACGGCTGATGGTTTTTTTATGAGGAGCTTTATTTCATGTCAGAAATACACTCAGAGGGGTGGGCATTCTCTGCCGAAGGCGGCCACAATTAGAAACTTTATTTTAATTTTCTATAACCTTTTGGATGTTAGTACGATACCAGGATTTGAGACCGAGTCTTCCAAATGCGGCCGCCATGATGTAAAAAGTGGCGCCAAAAAGCCTCTTTCTTCCTGCTTTCCAACAAATTTTTTAAAACATTTGGTGAGCACTCTTCGGTGTACCATGTTCTAACTATCGTCTGACTGTTTCCAGTGGAACAGCAGCCACGATTTTAGTTCGGGTAAAATAAACTGGTATCATTACTTTTGCTGCTGATTTCTCAAGCTTAGATTTTACGGGTAGGTTTGGTCCTGTTGGACTTCTGTTTGATTTCTGGATCGTGGTTACACAACCATATTCGTCTTCAGTAACGACTTTATGAAAGTTGCTAGACTGACCATTTTCGAATTTGTTTAGGAAAAATTGAGAAAATACACTCCAACTTCTTTTTGGGGCTACAGTGACGTCATCACAGGGCTTGTCCTCTACGGAAAAATGCCCGGTCTGGAATCTTCGGAACCATGTAGAAATAGTTTCTAAGGACGATGCGAGCATACCATACGCAATTTGGCATTCACTGAATATTTGTATTGGCTGTAAAATACGCTAAAACCCGATAGACGAATTTCTGTTGATGATTGAATTTTATCTGACCTATCCTCAGCTATCTTGCAATTTCTCATCTCCATTTGAAAGGAAGACTAATAAAATATTTGTAAAAGATTTGGCATTTTTAGATTTAATAAAAATATATTTAAAGTCAAGAAGTGAAGAAGTGACCGAACTTTTGTTAATCCCCTCGTATATATATAAAACAAAATAAATACCTATGTATATGTACATATATGCAGGCATTGCATATTCAACGTAACCAAAAAAATGCTCATTTTCTGTCTTCTAGTCTTTGATTTGGCTGAAATCGGCTTAAAACTGACTGAAATTTACTTCAAACCTCCTAAAAAAAATGCGTGGAAATTATGGGCGTGGCGAAAATTGCAAAAACGTTCTATAAACTATGTAATAAATTGGTCAGTTTTAGACGAATTTGTTTTCTTTATTCAAAAACACGTTTCAACCAAAAATTCCACCCCTACCCCATATTCAACGACAAAAGATATGAATTACCTTAAAAAATAATTTTTTTGGGATGAAAAGGTCAAGTTGGTTTTACTAAATCACCTACATTATTCTCCTCTAAGGGAAAGCATATAAAAAAGCTCCGGTCAAATTCGGTCAGTTTTGGCTTGAAATTAAGCTTTATGCCGAATTTCAATCAAATCGAGCAACGTGCAGTGAGTCTGCACGAATCGTATCCAAGCCAGCTTGATTTTGTTGTGTGTTTGCTGGAATTGGCAAAGAATAAATCATTATGAGGTAGTTCCTTACGGTAAAATACCGTAGTTGGACTGTCTGAAGGAAACACTCGCACAGAAGAGCACAGAAGTACCCAGTTTTGGCGGTAGTATCAGCAGTTTTTCAGTGAGAGGTTTTTCAAGTATCCACCTTAAAATCCAAAACTCAAGCCATGTTATTTCCATCAGTTTCTGTTTATGGTGTATGATTTGGCTGGTAAAGAATAGGGCTCAAGCGAAGTCTGTGCGAGTCGATAGTCGCAAGTATTTGCCAACAGAGATAAGGATTTCTCTTAGGGAGGAATAAGCTCATTCACCTTCCAATTGGCAAATGGCAAAAAGTTAATGCTCAAAACGATGCGTATTTGATAAATGATAAATAAATTAATTCCAAAATATTGGTTTACTTTTTACTGCACCTAATATTTATGCAAATTAAGTTTTTTTTTAACATTTTTAAAACATTTTTCATTTGCGATTTTTTTTTTTTAGTTTCAAATTTAATTTATAATCCATTCAAATTTTTTATTTTTTTAGGAAGATGTTGGGCAATGGCGTATCATTTTTTATGTAACAGCTGGCTTTTATTTTGTTGGAAATCTTTTATTCATTATTTTCGGTCAAGTCAAAATCCAAAAATGGAACTATCCGAAGGAATTACAGCAACAAAGGGATCACATTAAATTTCAGCCAGTCAATGCTGAGAAGGAAGTTTATTAATATTTATTTTTTTGTTAATATATTTTCGCTAAACAAAAGATTATGTACCGTAATATGCTGGTCATTAGTTTACTGTTATTATATTAAGAAAAGAGATAAGGTTTTGAAAAGTCATTAATTATCGCATAATTGAATAAATAAATAAAGTTAATTACGTAATTGTAGTTAGCCTCATTTAGCATGATTAAGCAAAATTATTTTTATCTCAACAATTTTTTACGTGGAAATTGTGCAAGTAAGAAGAAAATGAAGTAAGCAGAAACATTTGAAGATGATATTTATATGTGCAGAAATTTTTCCAGTAAGTCGCGAGCTGGATTCCGCAACGATACTTAAGAATTATAGATTTTATTTTTTATTTCAGCAGGTTTTCAATAGAGCTGAAAGGAAACAGAAAATGTTTTTGGCTAAAAAAAAGTCTGAAAAATTCGAAGGCCACCAGCAACTCTTAGTTGCTCTGGTGGAACCCTTATCAAGCACACTTAATCCAACTGTAACATTATGAAAAAAGGAAACCTCTCACATTACTGCTTGCGGAAACCATTTACAGCTTTTTAATTTCATAAAACCCACAAGATTGCTGACACTGACTGAAGCTACGTCTACAACACAGTCGTGAAATAAACATTTTTCGGCAGAGGCAATGCCGAACGGGGACGGTGGCACAGGTAAGGTTTTATCCCTTGATTTATGTCCCTACAGCTGTCGCAGAAGTAGTTAGAGAAGTAGCCGATCCTAGTGTCGTTATCTTTTTTACCAAAGGGTTTTTCCCCGAAATGGGTTACTTCACATCATAAAATATCACCATGATCACTAATTGACGGATTGCTTGACAAATATAAGTCTCATACAAATATATGGAGACCATGTGTAGTGAGGAATACTAGAAAAGAGCAAGTACTGCACAACGCCTCTGGAACAACTCTTTTGTTTTTTTGGGGTAATGAATATGAGAATATGTAGCGCAATTAACTGATTCCCTAAAAATTCTAGACAATTGGCGACAATTCTTGAACATTGAAATATTATGCTCACGCATACATGGGAACCTTTCTCCTGGTGCTTTTTCCCGAGCAAACAGCACAGTGGATAAAAGTCAAGGCATTCGGTTATAGTTAAGAAATGTCGATATCTGTACTAAAGGGACTAAATGCACAACGCCCTAAACTTACAACTCTCTCTTGTCAGCTTAAAAAGTCAGTGCGTATCATTTGGTTTTCAAGTCGACGTATAGAAGACAATGAAAATCCATACAAGTGTTTCAAGCTGAGCAGGCTTCTGCTAAAGACTGCCTCAGATTTCACAACGAATCCCAGTATTGCTTAAACCACTGGATCATACAGGTACAATTTAAATCCTAGAACTATGGTGTTTTAAGATTGCGTCTACTACTGAAATGCCATTTTCGCAAGTTCGGTAGGATGAAATCGGTTTGGCATGCACGAAAGGTAACGAAACAGTGGCGCAGTAATCTAGCAAGTGTCCGATCTTCTCACGATATAGGAATTACCATGCATTCTTATACCAGAGAGTATTAGTCTCCATGTTGCTTATGGGATTGCTCTCCTATGTAAATGGATAGTAATCACTTTATGTATTTCTAACTTGATGCAAAGATGATGCAATAGAGGCAACATTGAAATTATAATCAAGTAGGGTCATCGTAATGATCCCAAATAGCGTATGTGCAATTCGATAAAATCTCGCATGCGATAAAAATAGATTTACCTGCATCAGCTGTACATGTACATTTAAATTATATTATATAATGGAAATAATCAATGAACGGATTTGTGTTGAATTTAGTTCTAATTGCTTTTTCGCTCATTTGAAAGAAGTTAAAATCAAAAACTTCGAGTTTTATTTGCATTGGAATCATGTATCACTGATATCCAAATTCATATTCACTGTTAACATTCCTCAAATAAATCTGGAATATAAAAATATTTTCATTGGATTTTTCTTCATTTGAAAAAAAAACAAATAAAAGTGTTAAGTTAAAAAAAATTGCATACAACAAATAAAAAATAATAATTTAATAAGTAAAATTGTCGCTTCTGGGGCTTAGTAAGCCCAAGATTTATTGTAGAAAACCTTTTCAGGCTAGAGCAACCATTTCGGTGGATGGATTGTATTATCGAGAGATGATTACTGATTTTTCATGGCCGGTATTACTTAAGATTGATCTGTACAATGTTAATGGGTATAATCTCGGGAAAGTGTTATCTCTCGAAGAGGTGATCACAATTGTCCACCGAGATCTTTTGATTTAACGTTTAGCGACTTCATCTTCTTGAAACATGGAGATCATGAAGTCACTGCAGACGTTATGGGTAGAATTTTCGGCTTCGTTACAAGGATCACAACTACTTAGTTTGGTCGAGTTCTGTTGATTATGTCTGATGTATATTTTGAGTCATGAGAGAGGACGGAAAATAAAAAAGTCTGTTATATAGATCAAATTGGTAGTTGCTATTCGGTTGTGTCCATATTCAATTCGTATTTAACGTCCGAGATTGCAACGCAAGGAATATCAAAACTCTCAATCCATAGCAATAGACGGACAGGTCAAGAGCCAAGAGAGATAGACATGGCTGAATCGATTCGTATCGTCATTGCGTGTTTTTATCTATCACGATTATCTTATGCCGTTAATAAAACCGTTAGCTGTATAAGCTTTATGTACTCTCTGTACATTGTATATGTACATAACAAAACAATATATATTATATACATATATATGTAATATATGTAAATACTTGATGGCAGCATGGAAAATATTAATTAAACTTCAGACAGTTTTCACATCTCAACAAGTTAACTTGATTTTTTGCGGTGTTTGTGTTGCTTTATCTTTCCATTACATTATTCGTACTTTTGAAAAAACGAAATAAAATAAAATATAAAAATATAAAAAAGAAAATGGAAAATAAGGAGAAATATGATCATAACAAAACCAAAGGTGTGGAGATAATTTTATGTAATTAAGCGACAGTGAGACAAAAGAAAATAAATAAATTAATCTAATTTTGACCTTCAAATATTTGTGCAAGTTCGTGGAAAGTTAAAATGGTTTGAAAGAACCAAGAAGGGGAAGAAAAATTGATTTATTTGAGAACATCGTATTTATGGTTCGGTTTAGTTGAAATTCGGGACACGAGTGGCTTTTTCACCAGATACTAAAGCCAGATACTTAAACTAGCTACTCTGCTTTATAGGAAATCAACTGAGGAGTGCAAGTTTGCTTAAACTTGCAGGAAAATTTCTCTCATCTACGGAAAACGGACCAGGAACCCATCCATTTGTTAGTTGAAAAATTTTCCCCTGGAGTAGATTTTTTGCAAATCTACCATTTTTGTAAAATTATCAATTTTCTATAGATTAAAATTTTTTACTTATCGCAGATCAACGAAGTATTTAGGATACAACCTTTTATAAAATATATACTAAAGGGATACTTTTTTATATAAATACCGTTGGCAAATACTTTTAAATTAAATGCAATTACGATTTAAAAAAAAACAATCTAATCCCGCTTGGTGGGTCATCCTGTTGTTGACCTACTAGGGCAGATGCACGACTTAATAATCTTGCAAATATTGTCTAATCTTGAGGGGTAGGAAGGAGAAGATGTTTAGGAGTAGGGAAGATAATGTTTGTTAATACCCTTGAAAGTACTCATGGAGCCGTTTGGCTCTTAATGGAGTTCCAGGTGAACTCTTTTAGGAAAAATTTAAGGGGGTGCGGAGTGATCATTCCTCCTTTTACACTATGAATTTATTAGGTGGACCTCAGAGGCGAGAATTTTGTAGATGGTGCGGGGGACCGTTCCTTGAGTGGAACAACTGCAACTAATTCGGTTTAACGCCAGATAGAAACTAGCTCCATGAAAATACTTACAACACTTTAGAAGAGATACTCCCCCTTTAATGACAGTCACTGCCCATGAATTAAAGATAGCAATTTGAAGGCATTCACCAGGAATATCGTTCCTTAATTGGGAAGGTCCCGCTACCTAGCTGGTTAATGTCCTCGCCGAATTAGAGGTTGACATCACCACAGTGCAAGAAGGTCAATAGATGGAACGAAGGCAGAAGCGAGTAGGCCATATAAAGGACATCCAGTGGACTACGGACTCGCCATAATTCGCAACAAAACGCTGATTTGCGCCCATGTTCGATGGAAGAAAAGGACAATATGTTAATCGTGCTTCGCAAATTTAACGCCAGGGTTGCCAAAGAGGGTACTTTTGGCACAACTATCGGAAAATTTAGCCTACACCACGAAAAAGCCCGAAATGGGTTGATCCTGACCAACTTTGCCGGGTTGGGCAAAATAAATTTGTTGTAGTATTAGATTGCAACACAAGAAAATTTATTAAACTACTTGGTAGTCCTCTGATCTGTGTTCCTGACGGACGTACACTCCGAGAACCCAACATCGACTTGCATCAACAAGGACAAGCACCCATCTTTGCTAAGCGGTTTCTACTCGACTTACACTCTCAGCAACTTGGCATAAGAGAACTGTGGGACGGCATTTCAAGCTCCCTACGTACAGCTGCAACGAAATCATTGGATTTCGAAAAGGCCACAAAACCAGCTGGTATTGCGTATCGAAGTGGCGAGAAAACCGACTGTCTACCTCGCAACCTCATTGTGAACTGTGTGTTGGTTTGTTGACTGCGCAATGTCTTTATTCTGCTACCGAGCAGGGAATAGATGACGTGCAAGTACCTCTTTAGATCAAGAGCATATTAAAAAACTACATATTTTATAATATATTAGAGGATAATTATTTGGCAATCCATAACAACATAAGAACGGGTATGCTAGTAATAAATAAAATAGTAAAATATTTGATAAATAAAAATATATTAAAAATAATACTTACACAAACATACACACTTCTCTTAATTTCAGCACCACGCATCGGCACGCGACACATACAATGTTTACTGATATTCTTCGGCCTCTCCGCTGCGCTCATGCAGCGCGTGAATCTCTCTGTTGCTATCGTTGCTATGATGGACAAGAATTCAGCAAACCCAGATTTTGAGGTAAGAATTCAGCAATCCCAGATTTTTATAAGAAAATCGTTCAACCATAACTCCACCTTCCCACCACAGGAGTACGTTTGGTCCGAGAAGACCAAGTCCTACGTGCTCAGCAGTTTCTTTTGGGCTTACTTTACCACACAAATACCAGGCAGTCAGTTGGCGCACAAATATGGTGGCAAAATAATGTTGTTTTGCGGAATTTTCTTTAGCGGCCTCTTAACTCTGCTCACGCCGCTCAGCGTGCGCATTGGTGATTGGAAACTACTCTGTGCGTTGCGCTTGTGCCAAGGTCTCTTTCAGGGTTGCGTTTACTCATCTATACATACATTGCTCTCGAAGTGGGTGCCACCTGAGGAGCGTGGCTCTCTGGGTACTTTCTGCTACACTGGCATACCATTTGGCAGTGTGCTGATGTTGTTGTGCAGCGGTTGGATTGCATCTTCCTCTTACGGCTGGCCGGGCATATTTTATTTCTCCGGCATGTTGAGTTTAATTTGGTGCTTGGCTTGGTTTTTCTTTGGCGCGAGCTCACCTAGCGATTGTAAATGGTTGTCGACGGCGGAGAAATTGTTTATCGAAGGAGCTCTGGTAACATCCGCTCAACCGGAGCATGCGCACACACCTACAAAGACACCGTGGGCGAAGATACTCACTTCCGTACCCTTTTGGGTGCTGTTGGTGGCACAAAGCGCTTACGCATGGGGCTTTTGGACTTTGCTTACACAAATACCATCGTATATGAAGAGCATACTCGGGCAGGATATTAAGAGCAATGCGCTGAAGTCTTCTGCACCGTTTTTGGCGAACATGTTCCTGACATTGGTCTTTTGTGTTTTAGCGAATTTCCTTATTAAACGCGGTTATACCAGCGTCAACGCCAGTCGCAAACTATTCAACACCATTGGATTCTGGGTGCCCATAGTGCCACTCATTCTACTTGGTTACATGCGCGCCGATCAAAGTGAGTTGGCAGTGATCATGCTGGTGATTGCTGTTGGCGTCAACACCGCTGGTTCCTTGGGCTTCCTAGTCAATCATATTGATTTGTCGCCCAACTTTGGCGGCATACTGATGGGTATGGCCAATTGTGCAGCGAATATTATGAGCTTACTAGCGCCGCTGAGTGTGGGCTGTATTGTCACTGATGCGGTGAGTGCATTAAAATGTTTCCATAATTCTAATATAAATTTCATACAACTTTCGGATTTTTCTTTTTGCAGAAAAATGTTCATCAGTGGCGTGTGGTCTTCTATATTACTGGCGCCATGTACTTTATTGGCAATCTCTTGTTTATTTTCTTCGGCCAGACTAAAATCCAGCCCTGGAACTATCCTAAAAGACAGCTGGACGAACGTTATCACATCAAATTTGAAACAATTAAAATCGAAAACGAATGCCAAAGAAATACTTAGCAGTTAGTTTAAAAATCATTTAAGTTTTTTGAATCCGAAATAAATTTATGGTATTTGTAGATTTTCATCTAATTTTCTTGGTGAAAGATCTGAGCGAATTGACACCAAATCTGTTTTCTATATTTTGTATATAAAAAGTTTGTTTGATTCCAGTGCTTTTCGAAACTACCCAGATTATTTATACCGAATTTCTTCCTTTTTTTTTAGTGATTCCTAAAATGTGGACTAAGGTCTGACCTATTCGGACAAACTTTATTTAAGGCAACTTGAAATGCGGTGCTTGGTTTGGCTTTTTGATTTGATTAGCTGTTAGTGTTCCTTTTCTTTATTTCGAGAAGTTGCCCAGGGACTGAGCTATTCGAAAAAAATGTGCTTACGAGGTGTGATAATGAAGTAATGAGACTGATCACATTACCGCGATTTTGGTAATTTTTCCACCTTGTAATTCCGTTTTCCTTCGCCCAGCATCCTTTTCCTCTCCATTGATAGATTTGCCATCGCTCTAGCTTGTTTAGTTCGCCTGCTGTGTTGGGTTGAGTAAACATGTGTTCGTGGTGCTCGTCAGAAAATGGGAAAATGGGAAAACGAAATCAAGAGCAACGCATGGGGATAAAATTTTGCACCAAATCGGGCGAAGCAGTTTCGGAAACGTACGCTACAATTGTAAAAGTGCATGGTGACAGTACTCTTAATCGTGCCCAGGTGTTTCGTTGGCATAGAGAGTTTAAGGGAAAAAAAATCTCACATGACAAGTTGAAGGTGAAAACGATGATTATTGCCTTTTTTGATGGGCGTAGAATCGTCCACAAAGAATTTCTTCCACCGTGGCAAACCGTAAATCAAGTCTACCATCGGCAAGTATTCGAAAGATTGCGAAAACGAATCAAGAGGGTGCACCCGGACATCGCTCCTAACTGAATCCTTCATCACGACAACGCGCCGCTCCACACCGCCCAGAGCGTGACCAGTATTTGGCCTCTTATGGGATCGCCGTACATGTCCGACGATTAGAACCTTGTTGTGCTCTGTTCAATCTATAAGAAGGATGTGTCCAAAGTCGACGCCAATTACAGTGGGATAAACCCCCTCAATACTCTTTTTAGTGTATTATGTAAAATACTAGAGCCCACCATTAACGAAGTGGTTGGACCGTATCAATGAGGTTTTAGGTTAGGTTGGGCTGGGGTGGCTACCGATCTAATAGACCGGATAAAATTAGGCCTGACTTAGACCTATTGTGATACCACAAAAACTTAAATCATCATGCTTCATCCTGCATGCATTTTGATTCTCTAATGAGCTATCTTCGATAGACCATCCAGCAGTAGGTTCCCAAAATTACGAAACCTCTCACTGCTTAATTCAGGAATGTCTCATAAGAGATAGGTGATCGTTTCTTCCTCTTCATCCTCCTTGCAGCATCTTCTGTAGGGAGCCTCTAGTGATAAATCTAGTAGTGAACAGATATTCAACATGTGCCAGATCTTCATCATCTCTTCGTCGATTTTAAACCCGCCTTCGGCAGTACGAAAAGAAGTTGACTCTGCCCCGCTATGTCTCAATTCGGTATCCCCGTAAAACTATCCTGAAACCAGCATTAAAACTGTTAAAATTGACAGTATGGAAATCAAATTAAGAAATAGAAAAATTGGACAAAAACCAAACTTTACAAGTCCCTCCTCGCTCTTATCCTACTCTATGGTGTGGAGGCATGAGCGATGACAACATCTGATGAGTTGGGTTGCGAGTTTTCAACTCAAGATGTATGACCCTCAGCGCTTTGGAAATGGTATGTACCGCAGCCGATGGAACAACAGGCTGTGTGAGATATTGACATAGTTCCGAATGGTTTTGAAAGTTTTCGATGCAGTACTTGCAGGTAGAGGCAGGTGAAAATTAATAATTGTGCAAAGGAATAGTGCATAGGTACCTGGCTATATATGATCTTAGACTTAGACAGGCGTCAAACAGCGGAAAAAGGAAACATATTTATTTATTTCAAATTTCATACCAAAGCTATGTGATTTTATTTTTAACTCTCCGCCTACAATTTGAAAGAAAACTTTTTTTTTTAATTTCTAATTTATTTTGGGCAAAATGCAATTCAATTTTTACCGGCCTGAATACACTGTTAATTTTATTCTGCATTTGAACTCGTGTACAACGGTTATTCAAGATAACTATGGATTAGCGGTAAGATTTTGAAATACCCAAACTGGCAACAGTATAAAAATGCATGCAAATAATTTATGAATAAATGTAATGAGTTCCAAATACGCAGCTGAATTTGTGCATTTATTTGTTTGTATTTTTATTTAGCAGCATTAAAAGTTTTTGAAAATTATTTATTATCTAGATAAGCGAGAGATGATATATTTTTAGGGGGAAAAGTACTAACTTGATGTATATTTATATACACAGCTTCCTCTAACTATTACATAGAGAGATTAAAAACAGTAGGGCTTAAAAGTTTTTGGACAAATGATTTTTTTTTTCTCTAATAAGTTGTTGTTCTTCTCTTAGTCTCTGAGGAGCATGTTAAGCACGTGTTAGCTACAGATTTAGTTTAAAATAGCTAAATACAGGGCCAACTATTTTGGTGTTTCGAAAATAAACGTGCATAAAATACATTACAACTAATTCTTTTTCATGAAATTCCATTTTTTTCTAAAGTTTTCCATTATATGTGAAACATCATTTCATTCAAATGACCGCCTTGCCAATTTTTGCAAACTTCGATCCTTTTCTTTTTATTTTTGACCGCTTTTTGGCTCATATTGTATAGTATCCAGCCATAATTTGACCAATGTTGGCTTTCAAGCGCTCAAGAATTAAGGGTTTATCTACATAAGCGCTGTCTATCGCGTAGCCCCAGAAAATAAATATCTTGGTGATCTCGGTGACCAATTGACATCGCCAAGAAAAGAGATTACCTCCCGGAAAATTCATGTCACAAAAAAGCCGTATTCATTCAATTTGTGTTGCGTATGGCGCCATCTGTTGAAACCGCAAATTTTCCAAGTCGTTTTCATAAAGTTTAGGTCAAGAAAAGTAGGTTATTTTACGAAGATAACGCTTCGAATTGACAGTATTGCCGATGTCCTTTTCAAAAAAAAATAGAGTCCATTCACACCTTCGAACCGAAAAGCTCACCAGTAAATTATTTGAGAGTTCTCAGAGGCATAAATGCGAAAATTCCGGGAGTGAGAAATGTGAATCGTAGTTGAAGAAATTTCTTTTCGAAAAATCGTCGACCACTGCCTCTTATTCAAGCACCTAGCGACGTTTGTACCACAATGCGAATGGTCAGCTGACTTCAGTCAGTGTGAACTGGACTTTGTATAGATGTGGGTATAAGTCAAAGTGCAAAATTCAACATAATGTGCCGTAAGAAATCACACCTCCTGAGAACATCGGGAAATATACTCACTCGACTCTTAGACTACACTTTCACCGTTATTTGAACGAGCAAAGCGATGCTATTTGTATCTATAGTCGATCCAATCTTTTTAAATTTACCAATACCAACCATTAAGTGGTTGGACGATAATATGCACCATCCCCTCCATTTAAAGCTTGAAACGTGGTCACATTTGTTTTATTAATTTTGTAGTCGGTTTTCAACGCATTGTGCTGTCGTTAAGCGATTCGTTTTTATAAATTTCGTGCATTTAGCTAAAACAAAACATGTTTAATTTGACACTCTGCAGTCTGCAGAGTTCAAAATACAGTCTTGAATTTTCGAAACCATGAAATGGATAAGCCTATATATACATATGTACGCTTGTATGTAATAGTAAAACTATTTTCTTAACCATTTTGTAATCTAATATATTTAAAGCATCTATGCATATACAAATGTTATATATAATATACATATATGTAACAAAACATTCATTCGCCGACACTTCTATGTACTCAGATAACAATTAAACAAGCGATAAGTTATTAAAGTAATTAACAATATAATTACGTGTCCCTTAGGATATTCACGCAGAAGCACCGCAGGCGTAGAGTGTAACGGAGGATAGTATAATCGCTTCTACATACATACTCACATATGTACATATGTAGCTTCTTTTGACAGCGCATTTCACAATAATTCGCGATTTTTCGTTACCATTTTCCGCACTACAATTAACTGTATCAGTGAGTCTGCTAATAAAGCGAAAGTGTGATGGTGTTGAATCAAACGATTAAGGAAGCAAAGCGTGAGTTGCTCACGAATTTTCCGCTTAATTATTTGTATTTGAAAAATTGTCAATTTTCAATACTTAAAAGTTAACGAAAAAAAATCCTCTCATTTGCAGTACCCCTTTTTGGGCGACGCCATGTACAGTGTGTACTGTTATTTTTTGGCCTTTCGGTCATTTACAGTATGCGTGTGAATCTCTCGGTTGGCATAGTGGCGATGATGGATAATAAAGCGGCGAATCCGGATTTTCCAGTGAGTAGAGTATTGGAATATATATATTTGTAAACAGTGCTCTAAAGTGTTCCAAAAAACAGTTCCTTTTGAAACGTTCTAAAAAAGTGTTCCTGAAGAATTTTCAAGAAATATATTGTGTAAATAAAAAATTTAACAGTTATAAAATGTTTCCAAACAAATAATTTTACTACATTAACAATAATAATAATTGACAGATACGAAAAAGTTTCGTGGCGGAAAAGACTTTTCATAAAGATTTCACCTGTAAAACTTAATCTAACATTGAAAACACACATAATTTCATAATGTCACCATCCGATATGAGCGCTCCCGATATGAGCGCCGATATTAGCGCCATCTGGGTTGTTTCAATATTGAACTCTTGGAACAACAATTATATAGAAATGCGTTGTGTTGCAGTGGTAGAACTCAGACCAATGACCTTAAAAGTCTTCTGTGAAAGTTATAAAATGATCTCAGCTCCTCTTTTTATAATATTAACGTTTCGAGACTGTTCATGGAGAGTAACCAAATTTACATAGAGTTGAAAGTTTTTCACCTTAAACGTCTTCTATGAAAGTTATGAAATGATCTAAGCTCCGCCTTTTATAGAGAGTTACAAACTTATCATGGAGAATTACTAAATTTAGGCAGAATTGAGAGCTTTTCACCTTAAAAGTCTTCTGTGAAAGTTATGAAATGATCTCAGCTCCCCTTTTTATAGAGTTTTCCAGACTTTTTATGAAGAGTACCCAAGTTTTCATAAAGTTGAGAGCTTTTCACCTTAAAACTCTTCTGTGAAAGTTGTGAAATGATCTAAACTCCGCTTTATATGGAGAATTCGCTTTCGATACTCTTTTTATGTTCGTGCTTATTAAATAATGAAAGGCTTTATTCTGAATTACTGACGGATCAATCCACAATCATACCGATGCACCCAAAAGAATCATATTTATACCTAAATTTTATTGAAATTTGATTAAAATTTGAAACTCCTTAGCCCAGGCTAATAAATTGAAATTTGAGTGTTACTCAAAATCCCTTAAATCTAGATGGAAATGATAGTAAATTATCTTAAGAACCCCCAGAAATTTCGAGGGTGGCATGAGAACAGCATTCATTTTGAATCTGTAATAGAAGCTTTTCAAGAAATCGGCCTTGAATAGCCAACGGCGAAAGTTGGGAATTCTCTCCAGTGGAAAAAGGTTCAACTTCGCTGACATGGGCACCTCCCGCATCGCCAGCCATGCAACAAGAGACACTCTTCAAGAAGTAAAACGTCCACAGTATTGCCTAGATCTCCTTCTTTTCTCATCTTCTTCTTTAGCGTGGGTAATACCAAACGAAGTCACGTCGCTCTCCACCAAATTCTTCTTCCTCTGCCTCCACCAGCGGGTGTTACAATGAATAATTTCAAAGTTGGTATCCTTTCATCCATTCGAATGACATCACCTAGCCAGCGTAGCCGCTATCTTTTGATTCGCTGTCTTTTGGCTAGTACAGCTCATTGTTCCATCGACTGCGGTGGTTTTCGTAGGTAATGCGCAAAGCCTAGACATATTTCGCAAGACTATTCTCACGGAGACGCTCAAGGCCCATGAGATATCGACTTAGTTTTGCAAAACAAAACAAAACGGGAATGTTGAGGGACTTTATCTTCGGTAGTTAAGAGAGGACCCTACTTACGAATACCTCAGTTTCATAGTACCAAATACAAAAATTCAGTTTCCCTACTCGAGAGCCCAAACAATATTATTGGGTCGATGTACATAATTTCCTATCGGTCTCCTTTAGAACTTTCTGTGAAACCAAAACCTTTTTATATCTTATAATTTATATATTTATATCTCTCCATTTACAGGAATACAAATGGTCGGAGAAAACGAAATCCCGAGTGATCAGCAGCTTCTTCTGCGGCTACATATGTACACAGATACCAGCTGGCGGTTGGGCGCGACGTTTTGGCGGCAAAGTGATGCTACTCTTCACGGTCACCAGTAGCAGCATCATAGCCATACTCACACCACTTGGCGTGGGCATGGGTGATTGGATATTGTTATGCATTCTACGTTTTCTGCAGGGCTTCGGTCAGGGCTCCACAATACCGGCAATGGCAACGATATTAGCGAAATGGGCACCCGTCGAGGAGCGCAGCTCATTGGCCACTTATCTCTTTTCGGGCGCACAATTCGGTACAGTCATAATGTTGGGGGCAAGTGGCGCAATGTGTTCCTCACCTTTGGGTTGGCCGAGCATATTTTATATACCCGGCGCACTGGGACTATCTTGGGCGCTCATATGGCTATGGCTCGGCGCAAGCTCGCCAAGCGATTGTAAAGCTATTTCGCAAGCAGAACGCGCCTACATTGAATCATCGTTGAATGCACAAAAGAAGAGTGCAGATCATGAAATGCCAAGCAAAGTGCCATGGCTAAAGATATTCACCACACCGGCGTTTTTAGCTTTATTAACAACACACTGCGGCTATACTTGGGGTTTCTGGACACTGCTAACACAAATACCGTCTTATATGAAAAGTGTACTCGGCAAGGATATTAAGAGTAATGCGCTACTCTCATCGCTGCCATATTTGTCGATGGTGATTTTGGGTTTCATCTGTTGTCCCTTTGTGCGTGCGTTTGAGGAGTCGAAGATCGTAAGCACCACTGTGAGCAGGAAAATCTTTAATACGATTGGGCAATGGATACCGGTTATCACATTCATTTGGCTGGGTTATGTGACGTCGGAGGAAAGTGATTTGGCTGTGGTACTTTTAACGGTAACAGTTTCGATAAGTTCGATCACACATTTTGGCTGGCAAGTAAATCACATCGATCTCTCACCACACTTCTCCGGCACACTTGTTGGACTGACCAACAGCGCAGCCAATGTGATGAGTATTATTGCGCCGCTGGTTGTGGGTTACATAGTGACAGATCCGGTTAGTTTTGATTGATATTAAAATATATTTAATGTATTTAATTAAATTTATTTAACATCTCGCTCCACAGGCCAGTCCGGACCAATGGCGTATAATATTCTTCATTGCTGCTGGCTATAACTTCATAGCAAACCTACTTTTCCTCCTGTTCGGCTCGGCCAAGATGCAGGATTGGCATGGTGAGGAGCTGAAGGTGAAGGAAATGAAGCCGCTCAACGATAGCGCTGTGGTTGTACAGCTCATGCAGGAAGAAAAGGAGGCTATTTGATAGATTTTGTTTTTAGTTGTTGTTACATTTGTACGTATGTATGTATGGTTATATTTTTTGTGGAGGTTAAACGATCAGATGGAAATCAAATTTAATATAGTCACTAAGTGATGTTTTCGAAAGAAAAATATTGTGTTGCTAAGACTTTTTTCTACAAAGAAAATACGGTGAAGCAAATTTCGTAAAATTATGAGAACATCTTGAAAGAACTCTTTTGAAAGATATGTCAAGTCACTAAACCTTCTAAGCTAATATATCTCCTAGATGGAATTAAATTGGCCATTGCGATTATAAGATTTCCCATCAAAGAAGCTGTACCATCCGATGGGAAATTTTTCGTTTAGGGAAAGGTCAACTAAAGTTAATTCTGAGGTTAGCGGTATATTTTTGCGACTGGGCAAGGAAGTAATAAAGGCATTTTCAATAAGAGTTGCAATTTTTAATAAACTGCTTTTCCGGTAGATGGCACTTTTGAAGCTGTATTTTTTTGTTATTTGCTTCAAGAATGCATTTAAATTATTTAAATTCACTATAACAATGGTGGAAACCTGGAAGGGACAGTTCCTAAAACTAAATTATTTTTCGGATCGTCGTGAAGCACCTTATGGGACCACAATACAGAAATTGGTAGAAAAAGTGGAGCAGTTGGGGAAATTAGTGATATGATGAATTAAAGACGTGCTAGACGTCGCTCAAGAAGAATTGAGAATATTGCTGATGTGGTCCAAAGTGTTGAAGAAAACTCGTCCTTCTTTGGAATTGGGCATTCCACTAACGACATTACACAGTAATGCGCATAAAACTTGAGTCTTAAGGCTAAAAAAAATTATGCTAACACAAAAACTTAAGCCGGTCGATACTCAACAATGAGGTCTCTGCTGATTGAGTACTTTAAATGCTTGAAAAGTATACGGAATTTCATCGAAATGGCTTAATCTTAGGCCCATTTGTACTTCGATGGCTAAATCAGTAAGCAAAACTGTCACATTTGCGGCTAAGAAAATCCAAGATTTATTGTTGAAAAGCCCCTTCATCCTCAACGTGTAATTATCTGGTGCGTTTTATGGTCCGGCGAATTCATTGGGCCTTGCTTTTTCGAAAAGAAGGCTGGAGCAAGAGTTACGCTGAAAAAATTGCGCTATCGTGAGACGATTAATGATTTCATATAATTGAAATTGAATCTTATTTATCTGGACAAGAAATCATGTTATCTCCTATACGTCCATAGGTCAACGTTGATTCAAAACATCACAGATGGCATTCGTGAAGCTATGTAGGGCATACAGGGCCACTTTGCGATTTAGTTATTTAAAATTCCATAAAGAGGATAAGTTCCTTTAAACGTAGTCGTGACGGCCATTTGGTTGATATTGTTTTCCGTGACTGGCAAATCATCCCAACTGCCTGTTTCAATGGGATCTAGGGGCGGAAAAATATCACCGACCGATTTCGCCACTAGGAGAACCTGGTTCTGTAGTTGAGCGGCTGTGGAAAAAAAAAATAAAAAATAAAAAAATAAAAAAAATTAAAAAAAGTATAAACAAAATTTAGTTTGAGGTTTTATTTTATTCTGTTTAATTTAAAAGGTGTAATTTTTCACTAGGATATACAAAAACTCGTAGTGTCCACTATTTATGTATAGAGCGCGCCTTACTACAAGACTTCCAGCTGTGCACAAGTGTTCCAGGCGAGATTATAAATGCCTATCTCTAGTAGAATATCTAAATTTTAAAACATTTATGAAAAAAATGCGTAGTATTTGAGATTGTTTCTAGGACCTACCAAAGGATGTATGTACTCTGTTACCCCCAACTGAAATCAGGTGTCAGTAAACCACTAGATTCTTATTATATTATACTAATGGGCAAATATTCAGTTTTCGATATGACTATACAAGGTGGATACTTATATGTGTATGTGTAGGAAAATAAGTGGAGTATCTTAAACCAATCTTGAGGAGTTGAAGAGAGTAGTTCAGATTAGTTCAAGATACTCCACATATTTTCCAATGCAACATTGTATGACCCCTTGAAGGGGCTACACAACAAACAATTAATACATAATTAATTCCATTAAAATCGCCAAATAATGTCCACAAGCAGCAGCCAGATTAGATATTCTAAATCCGTTTTCATTATATTAGAGTTTACTGAACTTTTTTAACCACCAAAGTTCATTGCCAACAGTTTATCAAAATAGATTAGAATAAATATTTATTAAATATATGTATATACAGTGGCTCACAGCCAAAGTGATGCAGCTACGTAAGGGATATTGTAGTATAATAATTTTTATTTAACAATTAAATAAATTTCCCAAAACACATGAAGACCAGTTAATATCCGTAGATATACACAATTAATTGATGCTTTAAAAATTTTATACTTTATGTTTATTGTAAGCAATTTTCATCTAAAAAAAAACTTCCCTTTTAAATTCCACCCCTCAGCGAAAATGATGCAGTAACTTAAATTGTAGGTTAATTAATATTTATTACGATACCCCTTGCTGTCTATGACTGCTTTCATACGTTTGGGCATGGATTCCACCAACTCCATCGTGTAGTCATGAGCAATATAGTTCCATTCGGTTTGTAGGGCTTCTTTTTAATTCCGGTTGATTTCGAATCCTGTATTTTCGAGGTTCTCAATCAAATCCAAATCTAGAGACTGCGCTGGGGTTTTAACTATGTGCGGACACTTTCAAATAAGCCAACTTGGCACAACGACTGATTTGTGTTTCAGATTATCATATTGATAGTGCCGAAACGTGCCACGAATATTTAATTTTGAGACACTTTGCAGCAAATTTCTCTCTTAAATGTCCAAATACACATTCTTCTCCATAGTACCATTGATGAAATCCAAATTTCCAACCCCAGAAGACGATATACGATTACATGCCCCCACCATATTTTACAGTTGCTACGTAAACAGGTGAATTTACTTTCGTCCGCAAAATTTAAGGTGTCCCAGAAAAATTTCATCTGTGGTGAACTTGAACTTGGAAACAAAAGTAGCAATTCCTCTTTCTTTATATTAAATATTTTCATATATCTTACTGCAGCTTCTTTAAATCCGAGATTTCACAGCGGAAAGTGTGTAAGCAAATTGTTTGTTGGGAATATGTTCTAATGGAAGGACAATATAGTTTAGCGAATAGGACAAGATGAACTCTCAGCTGGATGTCAGGAGTCTTAAGTCAGAGATGTTGCTGTATTTACCAGGTGCAGGCATTTCCAGGATCCCAGACGTTTGATTTGATGCAGAGCTAAATAGACATGGCACAATGTTCAATAAGAGTGTACAACTCTGGTATATGCCGATGACATTGTTATTATCGGTCTTAACAACCGCGCCGCTTTCCTCAAGCTTGATACAAAAGCAAATCAAATGAATCTGGTAGTGAACGAAAGCAAAACAAAATATCTGTTGTAATCAAGCAAACAGTCTGCCCATTTACGTCACAATGATATTCAATGCAGAATCACTTTTGCCAACAAGTGCTGCTTTAGACTGAGTAGGCAATTTAAAAGTAAAGTCTTCTCTCGAAGAACCAAAACTAAAGTCTAGCGCCAAGCAATGAGGAGAAGACCGAATGGCGCGCTATTGTTGATATATTGAAAAGCCGAAGAGCTAACCGTAAAAGGAGGAAACCCTAGCATCCTATTACGGCAGCGATTATTCTTAGCAGCAAAACACAGAATAGTGGAAACGATGATACGCTTAACCATAGTGTTGAATCCGTCTAGCGATTGAACCAGTACAGAGCATGGAAAAACCACTAAAAATAATACAGGGTATAAGAAAACCCGCAGGCTCTATACAAAACATATATAAAGGCAGCGACGAGGGATATAAAGGGCTAAAAAGAGCCACAAAATTGACTAAAATTGCTAAACAGAAGATGCTGAAAGTTTCAAAACCCGAAACCTGGAAACGCGATGTTCGGCCTAGCTCCTCCACCAATTTATGGTGTGCTAATTGATGGTTTTCCATATAATGTCGGTTCAAAGCTTATTCTAAGTCACCTTCCAGAAGAAGAAACTTCTATTTTAATGACAGAAAAACATTGGTATGGCTTGCCCTACCCAGGGACGGTTGCAGTTATTTCTTTTTTTTTAATTTCGGATGTTGGTCGGACCAGGAATCAATCGCTGGTCAACCGAATTTTACTATGCAATGCTAACCATTCGGTTACTGCGGAAAAATTGTTTAAGAAATAGAACTTTTAATTTTTAATGAAGTAGAATCTTTTCAGTAAGGGATCCTTTTCCTTCATGAAGAGCTATAGAGTGCATGAAATCTACATTTGTTTGGTTAGCACTGATAGAAAGCGACAGATCCTACTCCATAATTACTGCATCATACATTCAACCTCCATCCGGCACTAATTAGGACCAACAAGTCTATGTATGACGTAGCAACCATAACCTTACCTAATGAGATCATATTTTTGCAGTCACTGTATGAACGCCAACGTTTGATAGTACATAAATGCATTAAGATTAAAATGGCATACATAATTAGACGTGATGTTTACGATTAGATTTAGATTTTGGTAAATATGAAAATGGAAAATATTAAGTTTTTTATTAACATCCTTTGTGTGATTTCTTTATTCTCTCCCGATTTACACCGTAGCGACCAAACAAATTGGTCCAGAATTTAAGTTTGTTGCGTTGTTGCATGATGGGATAATGCTGTTTATCACTGTTATCTAAATGTGACATGATATGTAAGTCCATTTGGCGCCAAGCAACAACAAACGGCATTGGGTGCATTTATAAAGCACCGTTGTGGGCAGAATAAAGCTCACTTGTGCAGCGCTCATCAAGGATCATAGAAAGTTTCGGCATTGAAAGTACAAAATTCAAGGTAAACAGTTTTCGTTGAATTCGTGTGGCAGTGCGTGTTTTTAGGTATGGTGGTTACGCGACGCGGCTCATTGGAAATCAATGAGAAATTTATTAATCGCATTTTCGGTGTGCGGCATCTACAGTGTCTGCTGCTCTTCTGCGGTTTGTGCTTGATTTACGGCATGCGCGTTAATCTCTCTATGGCCATTGTGGCTATAATGGACAACGAGGCAGCGAATCCGGAATTTCCAGTGAGTTTAAAGGGAACTCTTTTATTGCAAAAAAAATGTGTTAGCCTAAAATATCAATATTTTTGTTTTAGAAATACGCCTGGTCCGAGAAAACAAAATCGCATGTGCTAAGCAGCTTTTTCTTCGGCTACATTTGTGCACAAATACCAGCCGGTGGTTGGGCACGTCACCATGGCGGACGTTTGCTGTTGTTCATTAGTGTTAGCCTTAGTAGTCTATTGGCGTTGTTAACACCGTTAAGTGTTGTCGTTGGCGATTGGCCTTTACTCTGCGCCTTGCGTTTCAGTCAGGGTTTAGTTCAAGGCCTTACATATCCGTCAATTGCAACGATTATGGCCAAGTGGGCGCCTATCGAGGAGCGTAGCGCAATGCTCACATACTGTTGCTCCGGCCTGGAGTTTGGCATCGTACTGATGTTGGCCAGTAGCGGCATGCTCTGCTCGTCCAGTTGGGGTTGGCCGAGTACTTTTTATATACCTGGCGCCTTAGGATTAATATGGTCAGCTGTTTGGTTTGTTTTTGGCGCGAGTACGCCAAAAGAATGTAAATATATATCTGAAGGCGAACGTATGCTTATTAGTAAATCTTTGCAACAAACTGGGACAAACATTGCTGAATGTAAGGAAACTCAACCAATACCATGGCGTCAGATATGCACTTCGCGTCCCTTTTTGGTGCTGATTCTCAGTCAATGTGCGAGTAGTTGGTGCTTTTGGACTTTACTCACGCAAATACCTTCGTACATAAAGAGCGTGCTCGGCAAAGATATACAAAGTAATGCATTTTATTCGGCATTACCCTACCTCTCAATGCTGGTGCTGTCACTGGCGCTCTGTCCCCTCGCAAGTTATTTAGAGAAGTCGAAACGTTTGAATGCGACTGTTAGTCGTAAGCTCTTCAATACAATCGGGCAGTGGACGCCTGCGGTGACGCTCGTCTATTTGGGTTTTCTACGCACCGATCAAGCCGATCTCGCCATCGTGCTACTCACTTTCACAGTCGCCATTAGCACTGTTACGCATTTCGGTTATCAAACAAATCATCTCGACTTATCGCCACACTTTTCCGGCACTCTAATGGGCATTGCGAACTCAGCGTCGAATGTGATGAGCATTATTGCGCCGCTCATTGTGGGCTACATCGTCACAGATACGGTGAGTGGCAAGAGAGCGGTGTTCAGAGTGAAGGTGTTAACTTATTTGGTTTGATTTCGCTTAATCTCTTAATTTGTTTGCAGACAAATTTACTCCAATGGCGTATTATTTTCTCTTTGGCCGGAGGCATAAGCTTTGTCGGTAATCTATTGTTTCTCTTCTTCGGCACTGCTAAGGCGCAGCACTGGAACGACGCACCCCAGCAAGTGATTTGCAAAACGACGCAGCAACGTAACAGCGAACTCTCATTGGAGACGAAAAATGCGCAAAGTTGTGTGCAAAAAGATGCCAGCAGCATTGGGAGCTCTCGTGAAACCTTGAATTTAGTGTAATATATTTTTTGCTTCATTTTTTATACGCTCAAGCATAGAGATTTGTATTTTTAAATATGCAAAAGTGTAAATATATTTGTATTTATGTATATATATTTTTTCATAATAAGAATTAAGTAAACAGAAAATGAGTAAAGCCAAAACAAATCTGTGAGAACAAATTGAAAAATAAATTATATTTGTTTGGACACCGCTAAATTTTAGTAGTACAAGTGAAGAAACCTTGTTTCAACAAACGCACCATAAGATTTTCAGTTCATCGGTCACAACATTTTAACTTTTATTTTAATTTCGAAGGGTGGAGCTTCAAATTGATCCCATGGAGAGATGAAGAAAAATATTTCTATCAAAGAATTAATAAAAGGAGGCTGTTTTTTTATTTCAAGGTGTAAACTCAAATATACATTTACCCATACTTCGATTTAGGAATATTTTATATTTTTCTGAACTGGACATGGCTTTTGTTGCTTTAGTAACCGAAAATTGGCTTTCGGAGAATATTAAGGAACGGGATGGAATTTTAGACGGCTCTTAGGACAGATATGCCTTACCGCGGATAAATTCTCCAACCCCTAGTCCCTAACCCACAGAGATAAAAGACCGTTGGACCAGTGTACTAGCGGATTACCATTTCTTATAACACCTACTAGGCAATGCATATTCTCATAAATCTAATCCTCATTGGGTGGCTTGGTGCTTGCACCGCGGTAGGACGACAAAAGGTGTCTGTTTGAATGATAATTAACCACGTATATACTAATGTTAAGGTAGTTATGACGAACAGAAACCAATGGGATTGCATAATACTCAATGGAACTTGGTATTTGCAAATACTTTCGTTTATCAGATCACTGTAGTCTTTTTCCGGCGGAATTGCTGGCCATACATGAGGCTGTCAATTGCCTCAGCTCAATGGTACTCTTATTATATTTCATTTCATTTTACTTTAATTAATTTTATTTATTTTTTTTTTTTGTATATTTTACATAATTTATTTTATTTTATATTATTTTATTTTATTTTATTTTATTTTATTTTATTTTATTTTATTTTATATTATTTTATTTTATTTTATTTTATTATATTTAATTTTTCTATTACATTTTACTTAATTTTCTTATTTTTATTTTATTTTTTTTATTTATAGTGCTTCAATTGCTTAATGCCAAACTACATTTAGTCTGTTTTTATACGTCCCAGTATAGTTAAAGTCTTTCAGTTTTAGTTTCTCCAGCAAAACCTGCTCCTAACTCACGTGTGCCTCTTCGGGTTTCTCTCCTGCTTAGCTTCAGTTTTCAGGCGAAGCTTCATATCCCTCCGTACTGGTGTACTGCCATTCTGAAGACTAGGATTCGACTAAAACCGAAAATTATAGAAAATTAGTTTATCTTTATTTCTGGTATGGAAAAAAAAGCTCCACAAGAGGCTCCAGTGAAGTTGACAGTATGTACTGTAGAAAATTTCCGAAAAATGTCAATCGTCTTCCACTTCTGCTATAGTTCATGTAAATCAAAAAGCCCTTTCCATGGAAAGGTTATAAACATTTGGCTAATACAAACTGCAATTCAAATGAGTTTGAACAACTTAGAAATAACCATTTAAAAGAAGTATTTGCGAATTCTTTAATAAATTGCAAAGTAGTAGCTTAGCGCTGAGAAAAGTTTTTAATATATGGACACCAGGCATGCATATTTAAAAAATATTTTCAAGAATGCTTGCCTTGAAGAGTTCATTGTCAAAAACGTTTGTATGTATAATAAAAAAAAAATGATGAGTAAATATCAACGTTAAAATTTCCATTTAAAACTACGTCACATAAGACAGTTATTATGTATTTAATTTATAAAAATCACTTATAATGGTACACTGGAAATTATTTTTTAATTTTAATTATTTTTATTATTTTTTATTTATTTTATTTCATGTTCATATAATTCAACTAAGTTTTCATTTATTTTGTTTTATTTTGTAACATTTTATTGACTTGATTTTGTCCTACCTGACTATGAAAGGGTTCGAGTAGCAATTGTCCCCCTGAAAACCAGCGGAGAGTTATTGGCAAGGTTAATGTATAAGCATGCCCGACGAGTGGAATTCAAATGTGCTCTGTCTAGTCCACAAAAAGGGGGACTCCACAGCTTGCACCAATTGCTGTGTAATAAGCCTCCTCAATATTGCATATAATTCCTTATCGAACGTAAGCTACGGATGTATAAAGTGGTGTTGATCTACACCAAAATGTGACTTCAGGTAAGATGATTCCACATCGTGTCATTTCATTTATTTAAATATTACTGAAGAAATTTTCAGTAAGGATGTCCAACAACTGGCGTATGCCAATGACACTGATAATGAAGCAGAAGGTATGGGTCTAGTGGACGAGGATAAGGTAACTGTTAGCAGTAATAACTTAGAAGTAGTAGATAATTTTAACAATATCTGCTATATGGAGCGGATGCATTGCCGGTGACAACATCTCCTGAGTTGGTGTTAGGTTTCCGACATTCGATGAGGTGTCCTCGGGAATCTTCGAAAGAGAAAAGTTTTCCGACAGGTTTGTTGTTCACTTCATCTAGGAAACAGTGATTACCTCAGTCGATGGAACGATAAGTGAACGAAAAATACGGCGACTTTGGCATAGTTCATCAGATCAGAACACAGCTACGCAAGCTAGGTTATTTGCTCCAGCAGGGTAGAGGATTGGCTGAAAAAGGACCAGCCTGCACTAGGTGTTTAAGCCAATTTATTTTATTTTGGTTTATTTTATTTCATTTTATTTTATTTTATTTCATTTTTTACTTTCTTCTTTATATTATTTTAGTTTTTTACTTTTTTATTTAATTTTATTTAAATTTTTTTTATTTTATATTATTTTATTTTATTTTATTTTTTTATTTATTTAATTTTATTCAGCTTTCATTTATTTAATAATAAAACCTTCGTTAATTTATATTAATTCAGCTTAATTTAATTTAATTTCATTGTAATTCATATTTTTTAAATTTCTATTTTCTTTTAGTGTGTTTTCTTCTTGAGGTCTCCCATCCTTAGAAATTCTATAAATTGTATGAGTTTTTTCAAAAATTTCTCACAGTGTCCATTTCTCTTATGAGAATAGCTCAAAAAATGCTACCTCATTTTAATATAATGCTTGATACTTTCACTGAATATTTGTTGTTGTAAGCGGCTGCGGTGGCCAAGTGGTTAGCATTGCGTACTGATATTCGGAGGTTCGGGTTCATATCCTGATACCACCAACAATCAGAAGTTGTAGAAAATTAATTTAAATAAAATATTAAGCTAAATTGTCTAATTGCGGTCGCTCCGCATAGAACGGCTACCCCGCTGAGACAAATATATGTGTTTGTATTTACGTGATATCCAATAAAAAAGATAAAAATAGTTTTACATATTTATATATACATACTTGTATTTAGATATACACGTATAGCAGGCATATAAATTTGTTGCCCAGAGGTAAGCTTGATTTATCATTAAGACATACATATCTTAATTGCTGTTGATTATCTCCAAATTGCGTGAATTTCAGCAAGAATGAGCAAAAAAGCGTAGCTCTCTTATCACTAATGTATTTATGTAAACATATCAAAAGTTTTGCTCAAATTTGTGTATGGAATATTTTCTATAAAAGGGGCCCGCTTCATGAGCACCGAGGATTTTGTGTGCGCGATTCTCGAAGGTATCACCGAATGAAAAGTATACTTAGCTGCAGCAGACCAAGCAAGGAGGGCAGACAACAGCGCAGAGCATAACAGAATGGTGACCACTCGACGATTTTCACTTGAGCCGAGTGACAAATTTAAAGGAAAAACCATTGGTTACAGACACTTGCAATGTTTGCTCATATCCTTGGGATTCAGTTTGCTCTTTGCAATGCGTGTAAATCTCTCTGTCGCCATTGTGGCCATGATGGATAATAAAGGCTCAAATCCAGATTTCCCTGTAAGTACGCGAGGATATATGAATTTTTCTAAATCTCTTCTTCAATTTATGTAACAATTAGTGGAATTGCATAATTTTCTAATTTTCGGTGCTTCTTCAACTTTCTCCCCCAGCAATACAACTGGTCGCAGCAAACAAAATCCCACATACTCAGCAGTTTCTTCTGTGGCTACATTCTAGTGCAAATTCCCGCTGGCGGTTGGGCGCGCCGCTTTGGCGGTCGCCTATTCTTACTGCTATCCGTCACTGTCAGCAGCATATTTGCGCTTATCACACCGCTCAGCGTCAGTTGGGGCGGCTGGGCTTTGATATGTGCATTGCGCTTTTGTCAAGGACTTTGCCAAGGCGTTACGCTGCCGACAATAGCAACTCTCATGTCAAAATGGGCACCCATTGAGGAGCGTAGCGCTTTACAAACTTATTGTTATTCAGGCGCACAGTTGGGCATCGTCGCAATGCTAGCCACCAGCGGTGTACTCTGTTCATCCTCTTGGGGTTGGCCGAGCACATTCTATCTACCCGGCTTGCTGGGTCTGATGTGGACTGGACTGTGGTTGGTGTTCGGCGCTAGTACACCACGTGATTGTAAACACATTTCGGCAGCTGAGCGTGACATGATTGAGGAATCGTTGGGTCATAATCAGAAAAATGCCGAGTTTACTAAAACTCGCGCGGTGCCCTGGAAAGATATATTTACATCGAAACAATTTTTAGTGCTCATATTTAATCATTGCACAAATAATTGGTGCTTCTGGACGCTTCTCACACAAATGCCGTCGTATATTAACAGTGTCCTAGGCAAGGACATTAAGAGCAATGCATTACTCTCTGCACTACCTTACATAACTATGTTGGCCTTATCGATGGCGTGTTGTCCCATTGTCAGTTGGTTGGAAAAATCGAAGCTGCTGAATGCCACTGTGAGTCGCAAAATCTTCAATACAATTAGTCAGTGGATACCTGTGGTAACGTTGATATCTCTGGGCTACCTGCGTCCAGACCAAGGAGATTTGGCCATCATTTTGCTCACCGTCACTGTTGCAATCAACACACTGGGTCACTTTGGTTATGCGGTGAATCATCTCGATTTGGCGCCCAACTTCGCTGGCACACTGATGGGCATAGTCAATTGCTCGTCGAATGTGATGGGCATCATAGCGCCATTGGTGGTGGGTTACATTGTCACAGATACGGTGAGTTGGAAGCTAAGAAATTGTGCTGCTTTAATTTCAGTGTTAATATATGGCTTTACTTCCTATAATTTCCTTTAGACCAACATCTATCAGTGGCGCATTATCTTCACCATTGCTGGATGCATGAGCTTTTCTGGCAATTTTATGTTTTTAATTTTCGGCACCGCCAAGCAACAGCCATGGAATGATCCACCGCGCACAGTTCATGAATCAGAACCGCTCAAATCTCTGAGCTCTGACGCGGAGAAGGGGCAAGAAGACAGAGGAGAGCTGGGAAAGGGTGATGTGATCTTGTTGGAATGAAGTGAACTGAGATTGTATATTTAATTTCATTTTTGTTGAGTTTTGCTTACTTTTCGTTAATAGTTTTATTTTGGTAGTTTTAAGTCGAATCGCTCAACTGTAGTTTTAGCTTAGCGCCTACATATATATTTAGCAATAAGTGTAGGTAAATATGAATTATAAAAAAAAGAAATCTTCAACTTCTTCTTCTTCAATATATATATATCGCAAAGAACTATAAATCTTTCCATCGCCGACTCATGAGATGTTTTCATCGTCTATATCTCTGTTCTCTACGGCTCGATCGGAAGAATCAGCGAATCTGTAGAGTTTGGAGTTTGTTCGTCCAAAGAGTACTTTTCAATTGCCTATTCAGTCTAAATAAGCACCTCTTAGCAAGTCTGCTTTGAGTATCAAGGCTGGGATTGTTATCAGTGTTAATGATGGTTCCAAGATAAACGAAAATATCTACGACTTCATAGTTATAACAGTGACTTGAGAGCCAACTCGCGAATGCTATGACTCTTTGTTAGATCTCCGCAGCTCTCTTTCATTAACAATATCAGACGCTTCGCTTTCTTATCCGTTCAAAAATGAGCCGAGGGAGTTCTCTCTCCCCTTCTATAGTGTCTTATAGTCGAAGCGCTGCTTGGCATGTTAATAAACGACGGCATTGACCTCACAGTCACTGGATTTGTTTAAAATGACCTTTACACAGTTAGTAACTGGAAGAGAGGTATTCAGTAGAAGAGAGGTACAAACAAACTGCTTCTTAACCACTCTTACTTTCTACGGAGGTAAAATATCTAACCCCCAAATACTAAGCTTTGCATCATTTTCAGAAGAGGTTTCAACAACACTTTCTCAACAAAATTCAGATATTAACGAGTGGGAAAATGCAGCAGTTCTAGATCGTAGATACGTAGCCATCTTCATCGAATACTCAAAACTAGATGACAACGCAGGTTGTGGGGTTTATTCTGAACCACAATCTCTCACGACCACTGTAGCTTATTCCAAGTGGATCAAGGCACGGAATCAGTTTCATTATTACTCATTTCTACCACGTTAACCCAACCTGCCATTAAGTCTCTCTCCACTACAATCAAACCATTTCAAAGGAGACAATAAAATACAGAGAAATCTTAAACTCCCCAATGTATGCGAAATAATCCCGGCTTGGGGTAGTCTGGTAACAGGGACAACTCAGAGAATTGTGTACCCGACGAATTGATCAGAAAAGGAACAGCCCTTACCATCGTAAGCCTTGCCCATTAAGTGAGCATAATATCAGCTAAGGCAAAGCTTCACCAGAAGGGTCAGCAGCAGACGGCACAGCCTTGCAATGTCAAATCCGACCATTGATCAAGATAAACGGAACTAAGTCTCTACTTTTTTTAAACCGAACCTCCATTAGCACAACAACTGGCATAATAACCGGACAATGTCTTATTGGGACTCCTGGTTGAAGGATGGGCTGCTTCTCAATCAACTTTCCCACAGCTGTAGGGTTATGTTATTTCGCAATCGTGTAATAAAGAGCCCTCCTCCTAAACGATGAGAATAAAAAAGCTCGGTCTGTTGACTTCCATTCGTTCTAAAAATACCAATTCCTTTGCAATCGTTTTATTAGTCTTCTTTTCATATTTTAGAATGATTGTCTAAAATTGAAGCAAGAAAACGCATGATACCTGAGGATAGGTCAGACAAATTCCACCATCAATGAAAACAGGAATTCCCCCCAAAATATTCAGTGAATGCCAAATTGCACTATCTTGAAATATTATTTCGCTATGGTTCCGAAGATTCTATAGAGTACGAGCCCCCGCGAAGGTTGCTCAAAATCTTCTCAATTTTTTCTAAACAAATTCGAAAATGGTCAGTCCAGCAACTTTGGTAGGCATTGCTGGAGACGAATCTTGGTTCTGTAACCACGATCCAGAAACCAAACATCAGTCTATGGAATGGAGCCCAACAGGAGCAAACCCACCCGTAAAATCTAAGCTTAAGAAATCAGCAGCAAAAGTATTCCACTGGAAAAGGACCAGACGGTAACTACAAAATGGTACACGAAAGAGTGCTTACGAAAATTTCTCAAAAATTTATGGGAAAACAAGGAAACATCATGACAACACGCAATCCCACACTGCTGAACTAACGAGAAATTTTATTGCGTTCTCTGGGATTGAAGAAATATGTCTAGCACCATTTCCCCCGGATTTAGCACCTAGTGATTTCTGGTTATTACCGAAAGTTAAAATAAATTTAAGAAGAAAGGTCCTTAATAGCAACGAAGAGATGCGGTTAACGCTAAACTTGATAAGCTTAAAGAAAACTTGGTTCAGAAGTACATCTAATGGCTTAAGAAATGCATTGAAATCAATGGAGATTATGCAGAGAAGATAAAAAAGTACAAATATTAGGAGTAAATGCAAAAAGAAATTTTCTTTTTTTATGGTCGGTTATTCGCCTCGTATATAATTGCATACATATTTTTTAATGCAGTTTATTAGCAATTAGATTAAATATTAGGGTGCTCAAAAATCCAAATGTTTATTATAAATTAAGAAAGGTTGGAATCATTTGTAGTCTTGTAAATAAGATCTAGATATAACTTTTTTAAGATTTTTACAGAGAATACCGCTACTCAGAAATACCAGCCTTTTTACATACGAATAAATGCATATATACATTTGATTAACCTAGCAGATCCTCCTGAATTCATTTAGCTCAATTTAGCATGGCTAAAACTCGAAACATACAATATTACTTACATATATAGCACTATACAGTACGTATATATGCATATACATGAATTTTCCATACTCTTTTAACAACTTTTATCGCGTTATCTTAATCACTTAATGTCCATTTGTTATCACTAAAAGTGGCAATTATTTATAATTTAGCCTTTACCACATATAGATATATATAGATATATACATATGTGCGTTTACGCTAATCTGTGTGTTTGTGTATGGGAGAGCCGCAGAAGTAATGCAAACAAGGCTCTTGTGTATAAAACCTCTTTACTTTATGCGCTTTCGAATCATTTGTGCGTACGACAGTCAAAAATTCCAGTGCATCGCCACCTCCCACAAGGCTCTTGTAGTGTCGAATGTCGGTAATACTCTTATACGCAGAGAGCAATGGTCACCAATCGTCGATGTTCCGTAGAAGCCAATAGTAAGTTTAGTGGTAAAGTAATTGGTTATCGTCACCTGCAATGTCTGCTGCTCTTCATTGGATTTTGCTTGATCTTCGCGACGCGTGTCAATATCTCCATTGCCATTGTGGCAATGATGGACAGTAAAGCGGCGAATACAGCTTTTCCTGTGAGTGACAGGAAGTTTTTTAACTTCTGTGAAGATTTTATAAAAATATGCCTGTAACTAAATTTTTTCCCTGCAGGAGTACACTTGGTCTGAGCAAACGAAATCACATATACTCAGCAGTTTCTTCTGCGGTTATATTCTACTACAAATACCGGCTGGCGCTTGGGCGTGTCGTTTCGGTGGTCACTTACTGCTTTTATTGTGCATCAGTATCAACAGTCTACTCGCGCTGCTAACGCCATTGGGTGTGAGCATTGGTGATTGGCCACTACTGTGTGTGCTACGCTTTTCTCAAGGCCTCCTGCAGGGTATCATATTTCCATCTATTGCTACGATTTTATCGAAATGGGCGCCAGTGGAGGAACGCAGCGCAATGCAAACATTCATTTACTCCGGCGGGCAATTGGGCATAGTGTTGATGTTGGCTGCAAGCGGCAAACTCTGCTCGTCGAGCTTAGGTTGGCCAAGCACTTTCTATATTCCCGGTGCTTTGGGCTTACTGTGGTCTGTGATTTTGTTCATTTTTGGGGCGAGTACACCGCGTGATTGTAAACACATCTCGGCGGAGGAGCGCGCTATGATTGAAAAGTCTTTGGGTCATGATAGTAAGGCTGTAGAGGAAGAGCGTGATATGAAACACTCCGTACCATGGAGGCGTATATTCACGTCAAAGCATTTTTTGGTTACCTTACTAAATCACTGCGCTAATGATTGGTGCTTTTGGACGTTGCTCACTCAAATGCCTTCGTATATTAAGAGTGTACTCGGCAAGGATATAAACAGCAATGCGTTGATTTCGGCTTTACCTTACCTATCCATGTTCAGCTTATCACTAATTCTTTGTCCAATAGCGAGCTGGTTGGAAAAGTCTGAAACAATGAAGGCAACTGTAAGCCGTAAAGTCTTCAACACCATCGGCCTATGGATTCCATCTGTAACACTAGTGTCCTTGAGCTATTTACAGCAAGATCAAGGAAATTTAGCAATCGGCTTGCTCACTATTACTGTGGCCGTTAGCACCCATGTGCACTTTGGTTATGCAGTAAATCATCTTGACTTAGCACCGAATCTCGCAGGCACCTTGCTGGGAATTTTCAATTGTGGCGCTAATATGATGGGTGTTATAGCGCCAATTTTTGTTGGCTACATTGTCACAGAAACGGTGCCTAAAACTTTAAAAATAATTTTATATACATTTTATTTCCATATATATATTTTATTTCAATTTATTTTATTTTATTTTATTTTATTTTATTTTATTTTATTTTATTTTATTTTATTTTATTTTATTTTATTTTATTTTATTTTATTTTATTTTATTTTATTTTATTTTATTTTATTTTATTTTATTTTATTTTATTTTATTTTATTTTATTTTATTTTATGTAATGTTATTTCAATTTGTTTTTTATTTTTTTATTGGGTATTAAATTTAGATTATTAAAATTTTTTCGTTTGCATTATTGTTGTACAGCGAAATGTCCATCAATGGCGCGTGGTTTTCCTGCTCACTGCTGCCTTTACCTTCACCGGTAATCTCTTATTTTTAATTTTCGGCACAGCCAAGGTGCAGGCATGGAATGAGCGACCGCGTGCTGTTATTGAAGCTGAACAATTGGAAGAACTGGTGAATAGCGTTCAGAAGCCGAACGAATTGGCCGAAGATGCAGAAGCAGGTGCACCCAAAAATGATGCTGAAAAATCGGTGGCGGAGAAAAGTGTAGCTGAAAAAGTGATTATGTTGTGAAGCTTTTAAAAGTTGCCATCTAACAATATTATTTTAATGCAGTATGCACGATAAATTCGAAATCTTAGTTGCCTTTTAGGTAAATTTATTTAAATTTTCATTTAAATGTATGCGATAATCTAATACAGATATTAACGGCATTTCAAATTCGAAGTGGGTTTTCCCTGTATATACTGTTATACAAAATTACATAAGCACGCAGTTAAGACCCTGCTACATACAACTATTGAATCGTCATGAGTAATGTAACCATTGTGCAAAATTTACAATAATATTTATACTATTTTGTAAATAAATACAAATACAGAAGCAGTTTTTGAACCTTCTTAGCGGTAAATTTATGAAGCGCTAATGTCATTAAAACGTCATAGATAGTAGTTGGCAGAGAATTTTTTTATAACAGGGTACGGTAGTTATGCGTAAACTAAAACAGATCTCTTTTATCTACCAGCTACAACGTCATACACTGTTATCTCTTGCTGTTTATCTTACTAAAAAGTCCTCCCTTTATTTTAAAAATTTACGTATAATTTTTACACTTTTTACACTTTTAATACAAATACAGCAAAAGATTTTATTCACGAGACGAAGTAAAAAGTGTAAAAATTATATGTAAATTTTTAAAATAAAGGGAGGACTTTTATTTAAACAAAATTTATAAACAATTTTTTTAATACATTTTTCAGTTTAATAATAAATTTAATATAACAACAGATGGTACTTTCGTATTTGCTTGCAGATAAATTAAGTAAAAACTTTTCTCAGTTACTCGCTACCCGTTTGTATGCCAAGTGTCCTTACCAGTGATTTATTGTGTTCGATATGGATACTTGTACGTTTTCTTTGCAGAGATTGAAAAAAAAATTGAATTTTAAGATCCAAAAGTGTAGAAATTTATTTTTTAATTATTGCTGCCGCGGCCTAAGCAGGGAGGGTCAAGTGCTCAAGATATTGGAGCTAGTGTGTATCTAGAGATACATACATTCCCATCAATACATAAGACTCAGTTGCACTTCCTGTTATTTTTGTTTCATCATTAGAAAAGAACTCAAAACAAAGTTCTGATTTACATATTTTTGAGATAACTTCATATCAGATTTTTTAAGCTTTTCTGCGTCAAAGAAAAATACTATGCTTGCCCTTAATTATCTTACTCTTGCTGCTTCTGTTACCTAAGGTGATTAGCTTGCCTGTGGTCCTATTATCATTTTGGGTTCTATTTATCATTTCCGTGCGCACATGTTGTTGTTTCTAAAATTACATTCGTTTTTATGGTTTCCGCTCACGCCCCTATTCCATCATTATAAGTTATCTAAGTATTTATGGTGATTAACATCCCTGTTAAGCGTTTTCCACTACATAATATACGTATATAATGAGCACATCTCATGCAAATTTCATCATTCAAACCTTAGCATTTCAAATAATCATACAGTCGAACACGCGCGCACAACTATTAGAAGTTTTCATTTGAATTATTAGTAATTAGCACCTGCGGAAGCTATCATATACGGATTAAGGCAATTGTGCGCATCCAATCGTCAGACTTTAGTGCTCTCTGTGTAAATCCTTAAGTGTGCCTATAATCTATTATTTGACAAGGTTCAATATGGTGACAAGTAGACGTTCCTCTAAAGGCGCAAAGTGTATGTAAATATAAATTTTACACAACAGTGGATTCAACTAATTTTTTTATTGTTAAAATAATTATAGTGTTACCACCGACTCTTGGCAGACGACATTTTCAATGTTTGTTGTTATTTGTCGGATTCGCGGCAGCGTTTGCAATGCGTGTTAATCTCTCTGTGGCAATTGTGGCGATGATGGACCGCAAAACGGCGAATCCAGACTTCCCGGTGAGCCAATGCAGAAAGCTTATTTAAATACACAATATTCATTTTTTCACTTCATTTAATTAAATTTCATTCCACTTAATTCTATTTAATAAATATTATATTATTTAATTTATTTTATTTTATTTAAATTTATTTTATATCATTTTATTTAACTGAATTCATTTCGTTTTATTATATAATACTTGAATTTATTTATGTTATTCTTAAAACTGTATCTTATAATAATCTTATATAATTTATTTTATTCGATTTTATACAATTTTATGCAATTAAATTTTTGTTATTTATTTTTTTCTTTATACTATTTTATTTTAATCTAATTTACTACATTTTACTTGTTTTTAATAAATTTAGTTTTTTTGTATATTATTTTAATATAATTAGTTAAATTTTATTTTTTCATTTTATTTAATGTGATTTTATTATTATTAATTTTATTTATTTCTTTATTCTATATTTATTTTATATTATATTTTTTTGTTATATTTTATTTTATTGTAATTTATTCCATTTTATTTTATTTAATTTAAGTTAGTTTTAGTTCCTTTATATAATTTTACAATATTACAAATTATTTTATTTTATATTCTTTTACTATATATACTATTATTATAATTTATTTTAATAATTTTAAAATTTTCTTTATTTTATATAATATTATAATTAAAACATTTTAGCTAAAATTAAAAATTTGTTCATTTTGTTTAATTGTATTTTAATTGATTTTATTTCAAATAATTTTTTATTTCATTCATTTTTACATTTATTAATTTTTTTCATTTTATTTAATTTTCATAAATTAATTTTTTTATTATTGTTTATTTTATTTAATTTTATTTTATATTACGCTATTTTTATATTATTTTACTTTATATTATTTTATTTTATTCATATCGTTTTGTTTATATTACTTAATTTTACTTTTATTTATTTTTCATTTTTTATAAGACTCGTTTAGTTTAATCTAATTATTTTTAAATTGTTTCAGTTTATATTATTATGTTTTAGTTTAAAGTATTGTTTTTTAGTTGTTTTTATTATATTTTAATTATTGCTTAGTTTTATTCGTTTTTATTTTTTTTTAAATAAATAATATAGGAATATCAGTGGTCAGAAGAAATTAAAGCGCGTATACTTAGCAGCTTTTTCTGGGGCTACATTTGCACACAAATTCCAGGCGGCATACTGGCGCGACGTTTCGGCGGCAAGGTGATGTTACTGTCCAGTATCTCTATAAGCAGCACAATGGCGTTACTCACGCCGCTCGGCGTTCAGTTCGGCGGCTGGAAGTTACTCTGTTTCATGCGTTTCCTGCAGGGTTTCGGGCAGGGTGTAACGGTACCTTCAATGCACACTCTACTTGCCAAATGGGCACCAGTGACGGAGCGTGGCTCACTAGCCACATACAGCTATTCGGGCTCACAATTCGGCACTGTTATCATGTTAGCTTCAAGTGGCGTACTCGCCTCCTCCAAGCTTGGTTGGCCTAGTTGTTTCTATATACCTGGCAGCTTAGGTCTACTTTGGACTGTACTGTGGATAATATATGGTGCAAGCTCACCCAGCGAATGTACAAAGATCAGTGTGGCTGAACGTGAACTAATCGAAGGCTCTCAAGTGCACACTGTCAAATCGAGTGCTGACGGTAAGCCGAATTTGCCCGTACCATGGAGGCGTATATTCACCTCCGTACCATTCTTGGTTTTAATGGCCACACATTGTGCCTCTACATGGTGTTTCTGGACGCTGCTCACTCAGATACCCACCTACATGAAAAGTGTGCTCGGCAAGGATATTAAAAGTAATGCTGTACTTTCGGCTCTTCCCTACTTTACGATGTTGATTTTGGGCTTGGCATGTGGGCCGCTAAGTGATTTCCTGGAGAAGGGCAGGCATTTGAGTGCGACGACGAGCCGAAAGATTTTTAATACCATTGGTCAATGGGTGCCGGTGCTAACGTTGATTTGGTTGGGTTATATAACGCGCGATCAAGCAGATTTAGCAGTATTTTTACTCACATTCACAGTGAGCATAAGCACAACGATGCATTTGGGTTGGCAAGTGAACCACATTGATTTGGCGCCAAACTTTGCCGGCACTTTAGTGAGTCTGACCAACTGCGCGGCGAATGTTTGCAGCATAATAGCACCGTTAGTGGTGGGTTTTGTTGTCACCGACACGGTAAGCATCTTTAATCGTTTCTTGCATTATTCAGGTCTTATCATCAAACTCTTCTCTTTTACAGAGCAATCCTCACCAATGGCGCATTATATTCTTCATAGTCGCCGGCATTAACTTTTTGGGTAATCTGATGTTTATTCTATTCGGCACAGCTAAAGTGCAGCCTTGGAACTTTGAACATGATCCAGTTGTTCAGGAAACAAAAGTCGCAGACGAAGAGAAGGCGTCTGAACTCAAACCGCTTAACGAGGATGAAGATGGCGATGTGCCAATCACGAGAGCGGAATCGCAGTTCTCACTTAATTAGTATTTATGAATGAATATTTTGCAAGAAAAAAAATTTAGATAAAGTAATGCCCGTGATTCTACTGTGTAGCCTTATTTATAAGCGCTTAGATGTAGTATTCTTAGTTTGTAAATATATTTCAAGAACACAATATATTATGTATATTTGTTATGTATATACATGTATGTGCGTACGAATTTGAATATGAAGCAGAGTCTCAGAGGTGATTATTTCTAAGAGAATTCAAGATAAGAGTAAATAATGCAATTAACTTAAATATTATTTGGTAGTAGAAATGAAATAATAAACAGATACCAAAAATTAAAAAAGTAGAAAAAAGATAACAAAATCCTTTTAATTTAATGTATAATCTAGTATGGCTGCAATCACAACAGACTGCCGAACGATTTTCTACTCGACCTGCACTCTCGCTCTCTGAGAGCACTCATCAGCCACTCGGTATACAGGGGCTGTGGGATGGCATCGCAGCTCCCTACGTACTGCTGCAAACGAAACTATTGGATTTCGCAAAAACAGCTGGTACGATGAGGACTGCCGTGTCGCAGTGGAGAGAAAACATACTATCTATCTCGTAACCTTGCGATCGACCACAACATTTGCGGGAAGAGATAGATACCGAGAGCTGGAGAGGCAAGCATGACGTATCTGCAGGCAAAGAAAGAAAGAGGCCGAGATGAGTGAGTGTGAAGAGCATGAGAAGCTGGTCGAAAAGGTAATGGTCAAAAATTCTACGAGAAGATGCGTCGACTTACAGATGGTTTCAAGAGCGGAGCAGACTCTTGTAGGACAATAAAAGCTGACTTAGCCACTAATGTCCAGAGTATATTGAATTTATGGGGGGAACACTTCTCCAACCCGCTGAATAGTAGTGAAAATGGTAAATCCGGAGATGGTGAGCCCGAAACCCCAATCGATGACGGCGAAAAAGACGTTCCATTACCTGATCATGAAAAAGTCCAAATAGCAATCGCCCGCTTAAAAAACAACAAAGCGGCGGAAGCTGATGGCCTACCGGCAGAACTATTCAAACATAAACATGTTTGAACAATTAAAAAATTTTAAAAATATGGGAACTGTGAACATATATTTTAAACTAATTATTAAGTCTTATTGAACCCCATCCTAAATGTAGGCAAAACAAAATTTGTTTTTAAGTAATTAGTCATCAGACAAGAAAAAAACAATGCATACATTACGGCGGTGCGAAAATTAGTTAGAAATACAAAAATTTTCAAAATTATTATGTTTTATTTTTTATTTCATGGAAAGTAAAGTCACACTTTTGCTGTTTTTGTAATCAGTATATTATTTTTAAAAGCATCTCATTTACTAAGGCTTGGACGTGAGTTTATTTGTTTATGGAAATATTTCATTACACAAGATCAGCGTTGAAATTCTAATTTTAGTGAAATCTCTATTACTAATAGAAAAAATCCGATTTTACGGTGTTTACATTACTGAACTTAAAGCAACATTTTCATTTGGGGCTAAACTGTGCCCTTGGCAAATTGGCCCAACCTGCTGATTTTAAAAATTGCTGTTTTAATTTTTTGAATTTTTTTGCATGAAAGCTTTAGGTCTTACATATCGTTGAAATCTGCAAAAGCTAGGTTAGGATAACAGCATCAGACCGATCGTAAGACGTATCTACGCTCCAGCAAAATGAACCCTTTTCCTTTAAATATTACGATTTGAATCGTATTCTAATTTGTTATTTATAGTTTTATTTTAAAAAGATTTCCCAGGACGCTTGGGTGTATAGCGAAGTTATAACACAAAAATATCGAAAGATGTTTTAAGAATGATGATTGGAAAAAATTAAATTAAATAGAACTCAGTAATTAACCTACTGAGGCCCAAAACTTCAACCGCTTGCCGGAAAAGACTAAGGTAGTATTTTCCAAGTTCTACTTGCTTTTCTTAAAATTAATGATGCTAATGAAAATAAATAAATTGTCTCAAAAATATATATACTTTGACGACAGCACTAATTTTTATATCAAACGAAAAAAAACTTTCCATAGACAAAAATACGTCAGAGAGACAACGACATATCAGTCAAACATTTGCATATGGCTCAACATAAGGACTATGCAATTCGACTATAAACAGCGGAAATATTTTCAGTTTTTTCATCAGAAATAGACGTCCACACGACTGGTGCGAATAAAATACGCGACTTTATGTACATATATAATTGTAGTTATTTCTTATTTATTTGTTCAGTAGCGTTTTTATCTTGCTAAATAAGCCCATGTATGGTTTTATGTGAATTTGTAAACTGCTTAATAAGTGTGCATCGGTAAAAGCCGTTATCATAACTAACTAAATTTAGTAGCTTAACTGCTGTGAAGCAGTTACGTAGTGTGGATTCGTTTGTAATTCACGTTTTTCTTCTCGGTGGTTGCCTAAAATTTATATTTATTTATTGATATCTAAATTTACTTTCGCTGTTTGAAAATGGTAGATAATCAAGCGTACAAATGTACAACCGTGCCAAAATGTAAGTATTCACAAATATGAACAAATGTTAATCATACGCCATGGCGGCGGGTTCAGAGATAGCCGAAGGAGAATTTGGCAGAAAATATAACAAAAAAAACTCGATTAAAGAAAACCAGAAAATGAATTGAAAATACAAACATCAAAACGCATACCAGAAACTACAAAGTGATAATTATCTTATGTAAATACATAATTTTAAATATGAGCAGGAACATATACTTATATATGTATATATAATTGACACTTTGTTACCACTGAAGCGATTTTCGGCCGAGCTCTTCCTTCAATTTGTTGTTTTACGTCTTGATTCTTTTCCCACAAATGAGGGCCCTACAGTTTACACTATGCTGCCTCCGAACGGCTGAAAGTTTCAAAGATGAGCGTTTATTTCATGTCAGAAATACACACTTCATTTAAATAAAATAACTTAAAACTAAATAAAATAAAATGAAATAAAATAGAATAAAATAAAAAAAATAAAATAAAATAAAATAANATAAAGTAAAATTAAATAAAATAAAATTAAATTAAATTAAATTAAATAAAATCAAATAAAATGAAATAAAATAAAATAATATTATATTAAAGTAAATTAAATAATATTAAATATAATAAAATTGAATATAATAATTTGATATGAAATAAATCAAAAAAGTTAAAAAAATAAGTTAAGCCTGTAGAAAATTTCTTATTTATTTTTTTTATACTTTTTGCCTAATTATAAGAACTCTAGAAAATAAAATTCCTCGCAAATTCAATAAAAAAAATACCGCTAATCTTTATGCAAGATACATAAAAATAGTGAATAAAATAAAATTAAAAAAATATGAAAAATAAAAAAAAAAAAATAAAAATAAAATAAAATAAAATAAATGTTTCTCTGTATTGGTCTAAGGCAAATTAATGTATTCAAATATTTGAATTTTACATGTAAATTTTTTTTAGATTTTAGGGATTAATATTACGGTCTGAATAATATTGTTACATATGCATGTGCTAATACTCTATAAATATTTATTCATATTTGTTAAGCAATTATTATGAAAATCACTCAAATGTACTTATAACAAAGTATTTTATAAATTGGTTGCGCACTTTTTAAGTGATTCGGATGAAATAGTTAAAATGGAATAAGCAATTTTTTTTTTAAGTTTTTAAATATATTTTTATTATGAGAAGATGTTATTTAATTTTAACCACCTTTTGAAGCCTAAATTAAATATATATTTGAGGAAAATTGATTTTATGCAAAAATTGCAATTACTATATTTTGCGTAGACCATTGAGATACTCAACTAACGAAGCAATGCCATTTCATTTTGCTAATATAAAAACGTTATCGAAACAAAATGAAATTTTTAATGTTGAAACCGCAAAAACTCATCGTTAATGTCAAATTTAAAATGGCTTCTTGCTGTGATGTATAAGCACATTTAACATTTAACATTATCTGTTAACGGTTTAACATTAACTGTTAAGGCCTTAACGGTAGTTTTCCAAAAAAACTTCTTTTTTAATATTTTTTTAAAACCCTGCCCAGGGCGGTCCGTAATATGAAAACTTAGCTTAATTTTTTTTTTTAAATTTAAATTCTACAACTTTTGGTTGTTGGTCGTAGATATACGAGTACTTGGGGTTGTTGAGATCCTCGGAAGGTAATTTTAGATTTTACTTAAGCCCTAATAAGTCACACATTTTAGAAATTGTCTTGCTTAGAAAATCCCGAAATCTCAGCTTACGAAAATTGGAAAAACTGAAATAGTTATCAAGTTCTAAGTATAAACATATATTGCAAATATATAAAGTCTATTTCCTTTTTTTGTTGCATATTTTGTGGCGCAAGCCCTTGGGCTACATTTGGACTGGATCAGCTGCTTGCAAGCACTCATATGAATCTACTACACATATTTATGTATGTTTGTACCTGCATTCATACCGCAGAAAATATACTTAATGATTACTAGCTAAACCTATACGCATATACTGAGCCTACTACTGAGCCTATAGTTGCAATGCCGTAAAATATAATATACTATAATACAATAAAAACACTTAGAAAAATATATATGCATATAAACATTTATATTCGAATCGAAAATGTTGATTTTAGCTCTCCCATTACATTATAACGATCCTTAGACGCGTTAAAAAATCTCAAAATTGAAAACTTTTTACGACTTGAACTCTTGTCTTCATTCCCTCTAGCGGCAGCACCAACCTTCGGCAGACGGCATTTTCAGTGCTTCATGATGTGTATTGGCTTTGCAGCGGCCTTTGCTATGCGCGTCAATCTCTCGGTGGCCGTTGTGGCGATGATGGACAATAAAGGTGCCAATCCTGACTTTCCTGTAAGTTTTAATTGCAAGAAAAATTCTACTTTCAATTTTTACTCACACAGAGTGAACTTCTCTTTTCAGGAATATCAGTGGTCCGAGAAGATTAAATCCCGCATACTCAGTAGCTTCTTTTGTGGCTACATATTTACACAAGTACCCGGTGGCATTTTGACACGTCGCTTAGGTGGAAAAATTCTGCTGCTGCTGAGTTTTTTCATTAGTAGCATTATGGCTTTGCTCACACCATGGGGCGTTAGCATTGGCGGTTGGAAGTTGCTTTGTTTCATACGTTTTCTACAAGGTTTCGGTCAGGGCGTGACAATGCCCGCAATTCATACACTCGTCGCCAACTGGTCACCATTGGAGGAGCGGAGCTCACTAGCTGCCTACAGTTACTCTGGTTCGCAATTGGGCACTGTCAGCATATTGGCGTCGAGTGGTGTACTCGCTTCCTCCAGTCTGGGTTGGCCGAGCCTATTTTATATACCCGGTGCACTGGGTTTGTTCTGGTGTGTCGCATGGATTATTTGGGGTGCCAACTCGCCAGCTGAATGCCGTCATGTAAGCGCAGCAGAACGTGCCTTAATTGAAGATTCGTTGAACAAAAGTGAAAAACAAGAAGAGAATAGAACCAGATTACCGATTCCATGGCGTCAAATATTCACATCACTGCCATTCTTTGTGGTGCTTATATCCCATTGCGCCAACTCGTGGGTGTTTTGGACAATCCTCACACAAATACCTTCTTACATGAAGAGTGTGCTCGGCAAGGATATCAAAAGTAATGCGCTACTTTCAGCTCTACCGTATCTTACTATGTTCTTGCTCGGTGTGGCGTTATGTCCCCTAGCCAATTATTTGGAAAAAGGCGGGCACATTAGTGCGACGACAAGTAGAAAACTCTTCAACTCCATTGGTCAATGGGTGCCGGTGATCTCACTCATTTGGTTGGGCTACATGACACGAGAACAAGCCGATTTGGCGGTTATTTTGCTCACCTTTACAGTTGCTATTAGTTCAGCGACACATTTGGGCTTCCAAATGAATCATATCGATTTGACGCCAAACTTTGCCGGAGCCTTGGTGGGTATGACCAATGCGACGTCACAGGTCTCCAGTATGATAGCGCCGTTGCTGGTGGGCTATATTGTTACAGACACGGTGTGTATAAAATATGTTTTCATAACGATAGATGAGATGGGTGTTTATTGCTATTTTTGATTGCAGACAAATCCCGAACAGTGGCGCATCATATTTTTCATTGCAGCCTTCATAAGCTTTATGGGCAATTTACTATTTGTGTTTTTCGGCACAGCAGAAGTTCAACCGTGGAACGATGAGCAAGCTGGTAAGGTACATGAATTGAAGCCTCTCAATGGTAAGTCTACGGAACAATCCAATGGGACAGCTGTGCCGGCATAGTTATTGGACTTAAGTTAGCTTTCACTTAGTCTTTTGCAAAGCTTATAATAAGCTTTTCTTAAAAAGAAAAGTGAAGGGATTTTGTACCATAAAGGAAATTTACAAAAAATGTACTTAAACAAATAAAATAAAAAGTGAATAAAAATATATCAGTTTTAAGACAAAAACTTATTTTTAAATTAGAAGCATACCAGTCAATTTTTCCAGCATTAAATCTGTATGTTTTTGAAACAATAAATTCTCTGCCAAATAAAAGCTTTTCGTCCGTAGAGGAAGAGCACCGAGAAGGTCGACCAAAGTCTTTCACTTGTGAAGTCCAACAATTACGAAGACCCACGACTTTCACAAGAAATTATTGCTCATAAAATGGGCTTGAATGCCATGGCTGCATCGTCTGGATTATACGAAAAAATCTACTCGATCGGTGTACTACGAATTTTAAATGAGGCCCAAAAATAAGCTCGAGTACATTTTATTCAATTTTTCTCAAACAAATTCGAAAACGGTAAAGTAAATAATAGTAATAAAATTAGTAAAGTCGGTACAATAAATAATATGGTTAATGCTGAACTTTATAAGCCTAAAAAGCAAGATTTTTAAGACTATATTCAAAAGTAAAGAAGATAAAAAGGACAAAGACTACGAGTAAATGCAAAGAGTTTTTTTTCTGGTCACCATGCCGAACTTTTGTTAGTTATCTCGTATATTTTTTTTTTTCAAACATATCGGTTTTAGCGCATAAAAAATGCAGGTAAATAAAATCAGAAATACAATCTTTTCAAATGGGAAAGTCCCTAGTCCACTTACTGAAAATTTTTTTCGTACAAATCTTTCGAGGAACTACAGTAACAAAGCGAATAATTTTCATTATATATATTTTTTCAGGTCATTCATATGTTATATTGTTATGGGTTTTAATTCTATGAAGCTGTCTCAGACTGTAAATCCTAGCAGCAGCTATAACTTCTACCGTCCAAAATGTTGTTGTATTTTTTTCACTATTCCAAAAAAAATATATGGTCTGAGTCAGCTCCATAGAACGGCTACCCAAAATTTTCATAATAAATTGCTTAGCAATTTCAGAGATCACTGGAAACAAACATACCAAAGCACTTTTCTATTTATATATTGATAGAATATGTACATATGCTGTTTTTGCAAATTTTCATAATTAATTCTATTCTGAATATCCCTATTTTATATTTTGAATTTAATGGTATTCACAATAAAGTGCTATTTGGATTAAATCAATCCACGTTTCTTATCAAATAGTAAGCTTTCGAAAACGTATGTTCGTATTATTTTGAGGGCCATTACTGTATTGGAATAGTGTTGCGCCTAAAAGTAGGCAATGGCTCGAAAAATCATCAGCTAGTGATCGTAATATTCGTATTCAATTTGTCACTACATATGAATGAGGTCATTAGATTTTAAACTAAATTTTTATACATAGTTGTTTTTAAGCTTTTTTATTATTTTAAACGCGTTTTGAGTATTGCATATATAAATATTTTTCTTTCTCTTAAATTTTAATGATCCATAAGTTATTTAGAACAGGAGTAAATTTAAGAAAAACCCAATAAAGGACTTGGTCAGTACTTTTTTTGTGATTATTTTTACAGCATATTTAGTTGGAAATGTGTTTACGTTTCACCAAGCTCGCCAAATGATGCGTGAAAAATGCAATAATCGGATAATCCGTAAGACATATATACAAATTCAAGTACCTTATAGGTATATTTGTGACTAAACTCCTCCTTAAGCAGTTTATGGGAAACTTTGTTGGTGTGTGGTGTATGTGTGTGTTCAAAAGAAATACGGAATATTAAAATATATTGATGCGGCAGAGTTGCCATCTGTTTCAAAATTGTTCACACATAGAAATCTTCTGTAAATTTGTTTAAAATTGAATAATGGCTGAAAAGATTTTTTTGAGAGTTTCAGTGTGTGCTCCTGTAGGCCCGAAAATAACTAAAATTTATCATAAGGCTGAGCTGCTACTTATTTAAAAATATATACTTAAAAAAGCGTAAAATAAATAAAATATTAAAATATGGGTATTAAACTGGTGAGAGTTAAAAAAGACTAAGTAAAAAAATTTTGAATAGCGCTGCTACCCATTAAAAAATTCTGATCCTGCGCTGGATTTCAAGGCTGACGTTATTATTGGTGTTAATGCTGGTTCCTGGATAGACGAAGTTATCTACGAATTGAAAGTTATGACTGTCAACAGTGACGTGGGAGCCGAGTCGGATGCGTTGACTGTTTGTTTGATGTCATGCCCTCGTTCACAACCATAACCATAAGTTTTACTTCCTTATCCAGTTTAGAGAAAGCAGAACCTTCGGCACGGCTTTTAAGAAATAAATAGGTTAAGCTCATTCATTTCAGAAAAAAAACTAAGAATGGGATGAAATTTATTTAAATATTTGAAATTTATTTATTCATTTTTTTATTTAATTTTATTTTTTAATTTTATAATTTCTTATATTTTCAAAACTTTCAATTTCAAACAAATTCTGAGCCAATGCTTTGATTTTTTTATAAACAACTATGGATTAAACTCGTGAATTTAGTAAAAAAATTAAAAAACTTTAAAATGTATTTCCTTCAATTTAATTTAAGTTTTTTATACTTTTTTTTCAAATTAAATAAAATTTTAAATTCTTTTTATTTAAAAAATAATCATAAACAAAGCAATCCGCAGACAAAACTTTCTTTTCAAAACTGATGATATTTAAAGAATTTTGACTTCAATTTCAAGGCAATGCACTGAAACCAAATGCTCACTCAAATTCGCAAAAAAAAAGTTTTAAAAAAACATTGTTGGTATTTTTTTTTAAATTTACGTTTCTTATTTGATTTTTGAATTTTTTATTATTACTACCAAATAAATATATATTCAAGTAATGAAATATCTTCAGCACGCCAAATTGACATAGAAAACTAAATGTTTGCCTAGCAACAGCCTATAATGGAGAGACAATCCCAATAGACAGCTAAGGCAAGCAATAGACGACGACTAATTTGCATATTAATACTCATTTGTAAACAAGTAGTGCACATTATTATACAGTTACAAAAAAAAAAAAAAAAAAAAAAAAAACTAATAATAATTTCCACTACTGATTAACTCATCGGCACAAGTTTTTAGAAAAAAATTTAATCTAAACAAAAAATATCTACAATCAGCAGTTTATAAGTACGTCAATGCAAATTCTCAATTATATGTATTAATAAAATATATATTTATTATATATTATTTATATACATATATTTATATTTATTTGCAGGTAATATAGGCTGAAAACATATTTATTTATAAATTAAATATCATGCAAAAATAATTAACAAATTTAGACGTCCCATCATTCGCTTGAGCGCCACTCAACAAATCAACAGATGATAAACACACATTTATTTTCTGATTCGCTTATTTATGTCGCGTGCAGTGCACAAGCTCAGCATAACCACCCAACATGTGCCATTACTGCTCTTGTTCGATGCCGGCAAAATCGAGCGTTGACGACTGGCATGGAAGTCGTTGCCATTGCCACTTTGCCTGTTATAAAAACAAAAAATTCCATGATTTGTACGAGCTGAAAACTTGTTCGATTCGGTTGTATAAAATCGAATCCCATACAAATTATTTCGTATTCCCCATGACTGCCGTGACTATGCGTATTTCGTTTGGCAATATAATATATATTCATTGAAAATCTGCTCACTGAGTATTTATACGAAAAAACCGGTATGTCATATGATTTTATTAGAAATTTTACGCCCTGCTCTTTATCTGTTGTCTACTTTTGCTTTATACGAAGACTTTAAATAAATGACAATATAATAATAAAAAAAAACAATTAAATACAAAACCGTATTTTTATTTTTTGTTATTTTATTATTGTAGCTATTTTTAGCAACTCGTTTTGGCGTTACGAAGATTTTTTTTTAATCTTTTCATTTTTTTTAGAAAATTAAATTAAATTTATTAATTGCAGTCGCACCTCGACAGGGAATGTCAACCCCTCCGAGTATATTTCTGACATGAAATAAAGGCTCCTCATAAAAAAAAGCGACAGCCGTTCGGAGGCACCTTAGTATAAGCTGTAGGTCCCTCCATTTGTTGGAAAAACATCAAGACGGAAATCACAAATTGTAGCCGCTGCCTCTTTGTTCGCTGAAATATATAAATATCATCGTATAAATTGTACAGCTCATTATTTCATCGCTTGCGGTATTCGCCGTTACCTATGCGTAAAGGAACATAAATCGTTCGCAAAGCTTTGCTTTCGAAGACTCCAAGAGCCGACTTATCAGATATTGACAGCAACCACGCTTCAGGTATAATGAGTGACTTTGAGAAATTGGTCTTGGTTCACCGAGATAGGATTTTACTTTTCATTTACCTACTCAGTCTAAAATAGCAGCTGTTGGCAATAGTGATTCTGCGTTGGATCTCAAGTCTGACATTAGATTGGTGTTTATGCTGGTCCCTAGACAGACAAAAATATGTACGACCTCGGAGTCGCCAACAGTGTCAACAAGACATGGGTGCCAAGTCACGAATGCGATGATATTTCGCTTTGTCCGCGTTGAGCTCAGACCCGCTGGGTTTGCTTCCTTATCAGAGCTGGAGAAAGTAGAACTCACGACGCGTTTGTTGAGGTCAATTATGCCAATATCACTGGCGTAGGCCAAGCAGAAAACTACACCTTGTCTATTTAGCTCTGCAGCTCTGACATAAATAGTCACCCTGCCTGAAACCTGGTTTGAAACTTAGTGGCTCGGAGAGCTCCTTCCCAATTCTAACTGCGCTTCTAGTATTATCCAGCGTCAGTTTACATAACCGTTTAAGTTTTTGCGGCGATACCAAATTCAGCCATAGCGGCGTAGTGTCGAGGGGTCGATGAAAAGTTTATGTGTATCTCAGGTCTTTTCCAAGGTTTAGTGCATGGTGGATAACGGGTCAATGGTTGATTAACCTGCTGTAAATCCACATTTATAAAGTCCAATCAGTTCGTTGATATGGCTTCAGTCTTTCACACAGTACGCTCGATAGAACCTTATAGGTGATATAAGGCACACTCTGGAATCGTGCCCTTGCGTGCCTTATCAGTTCTTCAAT